GTGAGTTCAATCCTTGAGGAGGCCATTTAGGGATTTGGGCAAAAATTGGGGATCGGTCCTGCTTTGAGCAGGGGGTTGGACTAGATGACCTCCTGAGGTCCCTTCCAACTCTAATTATACTGCCATTCTTGCAAAATATGACCACAAAAATTACAATAAATTCATGAACTTTACTGATGACATTCCAGAAGAAAAGAAACAACAATTTATGGCTCTAGTTTTCGAGGGACAAATCATCTCATGTTCTGCTCTTCAAGCGGCCCTCGATGCAGCCAATACTGCAGCAAGATCTACTGCTACAGCAGTTGTCGTGGGCCGAGCTTCATGGCTCTCTTCCTCTTCCTTTCCTCAAGAGGTCCAGAGTACCATTGAAGATCGTCTCTTCAGCAACAAACTCTTTGCCTCCAAGACAAATGACGTACTTCACTCAATGGAGGACTCCAGGGCAACTCTCCGGTCCCTAGGACTTCAAACCCCTACGACCAGAAGGTGACAATGTGGATCTCAACCTTACCAGCGCCCATGCTACCCCGCCTGCACCCAGCAATTCCATAGGTCACATGAGCAACAACAGCAGCGACACCAAAGACCCAGATACCAGCGTCGCCGCCCCAATTCCTCAGCAGCATCTCAACCCCCTCCCACTAATAAGCAGATATGAAGCCTTGGTCGAGGGTATAGAAAACAACGTTCCCACTTCAGTGGTTGCACCCCATGTCTCTAGTTTTGGACACCGCCTACGGCCATTCTCCCACCAGTGGCAAAACATTACCACCAACAAGTGGATCATAAAGATCGTCATAATTGGCTATTCCATCCCTTTCATATCCTTGCCTCCTATCCACCCACCCTCCCCATCCCTCCTAAGGGACCCTTCTCACGAGCAACTGCTCCTCCAAGAAGTACAACTCCTTCTGTTGGGAGCAGTGGAACTCGTGCCCGAACAACACAGCGGGAAACGGTTTTATTCCCATTATTTCTTAACAGAAAAGAAAACCGGGGGATGGTGACCGATCCTCGACCTCAGGAGGCTCAACAAATTTATCAAAAAGCAAAAGTTCAAAATGGTGACCCTCACCACCATAATCCCAGCGCTGGAGGAAGGCGATTGGTTTTCAGCCCTCTACCTACAGGACACCTATTTTCATGTGACTATACATCTGGCCCACAGACGTTTCCTTCATTTTACCCTTGGCTTCACACATTTTCAGTACAGGGTGCTACCCTTTGGCCTATATACTGCCCCCAAGTTTTTTCCAAGCTCCTAGCCATAGTCACTGCCTACCACAGGAAACAAGGGGTCATAATATTTCCTTACCTCGACGATTGTCTCCTCCAAGCCACAATGCTCGACGAAGCGCTTCGATTCACGCAGCTCACTGTCACTTGCTTCCTATCCCTCGGCCTAAAAATAAACAAAAACAAATCCATGTTATCTCCTATCCAGCACCTGGAGTTCATAGAAGCACACCTCAGTTCCCGGACAGGATTAGCATTTCTCCCTTTCGACCGCTTCAGCACCATAAAACTACTGGCCACGAAACTTCACAACAGTCCTCAGGTCACTGCTCGAGACTGTCTACAACTATTAGGTCACATGGCCTCGTGCACTTTCATGGTCAAAAAGCACGACTATACATGAGGTGCTTCCAAGCTTGGTTGGCTACGGTTTACAGACCAAATGTACACACTCTAAACAAGCTTCTATCCATACCTTTCCAAGTCAAAGACTCTCTCCAGCCTCTGCTCTGGAGTCCCTTTCTCCAGGATGCTCTATCCCTCATAATGACTACCAGTGCATCCCTCACAGGGTGGGGTGCACACATTTCCCACCACACAGCCCAGGGGCTGTGGTCTTCAACTGAAACCTCCCTACGCATAAACGTCCTAGAACTTCGAGCCATACACAACGCCTGCCATCACTTTCTCCCATTGATCCGGAACCAACATGTACGGATAATGACAGACAACATCACTTGCATGTTCTATGTGAACAGGCAGGGAGGAGCTCGCTGTCACTTGCTTTGCACAGAAGCTGTAAAGCTCTGGAATTGGTGCCTTGCAAACAACATCCGATATCAGCCGCCTATCTTCCCGGACGAATTAAGCAGACGCTTTCCCTGGGATCATGAATGGGAGATAAACAACACAATCATCCGCAACATATTCCGCATTTGGGGCTACCCAACCACAGACCTTTTCACAATTGCAAAAAAATGAAATGTCCCACATTTTGCTCCTGAGCGGGACTGGGCAAACATTCCCTGGGAGATGCGTTCATGATCTCATGGGACCAGGACTTACTACACTTCTACCCCAATATAATTCTGTCCGATATAATGCGAATTCGGATATAACGCGGTAAAGCAGTACTCCTGGGAGCGGGGCTGCTTTACTTCGTTATATCCGAATTCGTGTTACCACAAGCAGTTCCTCTGCGCCCCCCCGCACTTACTTGCTGCGCCCCCCGCCACAGCTCACCTCTGCCTCCTCCCCTGAGCACGCCACCGCCGCTCCACTTCTCCCCCCCATACCCCTTCCTTCCAGGCTTCCCGTGCCAAACAGCTGATTGGTGCCGCAAGCCGGGGGTGGAGGGCGGGGGCAGAGAAGCGGAGCAGCGGCGGTGCACTCAGGGGAGGAGGGGGAGGCCGCGCGGAGGTGAGCTGGGGCGGGGAGTGGTTCCTCTCCCTACCCTGATATAACGCGGTCTCATCTGTAAGACGGTAAGATTTTTTTTGGCTCCCGAGGACTGCGTTATATTGGGGTAGAGGTGTATATGCATTTCCCCTAATACCTGTTCTCCACAGAGTTCTGACAAAGATACGAACAGATCATGCCACGGTAATTCTGATTGCACCGTCGTGGCCCAGACAACCGTGGTTTCCGTTCCTCAACAGAATGTCAATTCGCCCACCAATTTCATTGCCCCTCACTCCAAACCTCCTATCACATCAACACAGCCGATTTCTTCCTCCCAACCTGTCCATGCTTCATCTCAAAGCTTGGTTCCTACATGGTTCTCCCAAAACAAACTAGCATGCTCTGAGTGGGTTCAGAGAGTGCTCCTACATAGGAGGGACTGGGCAACAAAATGGCAGATGAAATTCAGTGTTGATAAGTGTAAAGTAATGCACATTGGAAAACATAATCCAGCTCTACAAACAAAATGATGGGGTCTAAATTAGTTGTTGCCACTCAAGCAAGATTTTGGAGTCATTGTGGATAGCTCTCTGAGACATCTGCTCAATGTGCAGCGGCAGTCAGAAAAGCAAACCATGTCAGGAACCATTAGGAAAGGATAGATAATAAGACAGAAAATATCACAATGCAACTATATAAATCCATAAAACCTTGAATACTAAGTGCAGTTCTGGTTGCCTCATCTCAAAAAAGATGTATTAGAATTGGAAAAAAAAGTACAGAGAAGGGAAACAAAAATGATTAAGGGTCTGGAACAGCTTCCGTAGGAGGAGAGGTTAAACAGACTGGGGCTGCTCAGCTTAGAAAAGAGACGACTAAATGGGTGGGGGAGGGAAGACAACTCTATAAAATCGTGACTGGTGTGGAGAAGTGAGTAAGGATGTGTTATTTACCCCTTCACAGTCACCCAATGAAATTATAAAGCATCAGTCTTAAAATAAACATAAGGAAATACTTTTTTCACACAACGCACAGTCAACCTGTGGAACTAGTTGCCAGGGGACATTGTGAAAGCTAAAAATATCACTAGGTTCAAAAAATAACTAGATAAGTTCATGGAGGATAGGTCCATCAATGGCTCTTAGCCAAGATGATCAGGGACACAACTTCATGCTCTGGGTATCCCTAAACTTCAGACTGCCAGAAGCTGGGACTGGATGACTGGGGATGGATCACTCAATAAATTGCGCTGTTCTGTTCATTCCCTCTGAAGCATCTGGCACTGGCAACTGTCAGAAGACAGGATACTGGGCTACAGGGACCATTGGTCTGGCCCAGTCTGGCCGTTCTTATGATGCTTTGTCCCAAAGGTTTTTGTTAGTGTCCAGTAAAAGGAAAACTAAAGACTAGACTGGCAGCAATGAGAATGAGCTGCTGGAACCCAGGGCCCGAGAAAGTTGCTCCCTGAAGCAGTTCCTGGCTTGATTAGCATGTGTCATGTTTCTCCCTTAAATCTCTTCTCAGTTTTATGGAAAAGCCATGCAGCTGTGGAGTCATGTGTCGGACACATGACAAAGCCTTTCTGTAAAGTCGAGGAAACCTGCTTGCTCAAATGCCTGTGCAGCTTGCCCCTTCCTAGGGCTTGACTTCCTTGCCAGTAGGAGAACAAAGCTAGCCCAGGCCTTCTTCCCAGGCTGGGCTGCTGGAGGATTCCTGTCTCAGACCCTGCTCAACCCATGCTCTAGATCCTCTCATTACAGACTTACTCCCAGCTCCTATCTGTCTGGGCAGAGTAAGGAGCTGCCTGCCTCAGAGACTCGGCAGAGCCTGCTCCAGCCTTTGCCAACAGTAGTAGTGTGGGGTGTTCCAGGAAAACACTGTTTGCCTGTTGCAGTCCTGTTAGTGTCGATAGCATTTTACATCGTTGACACTGAACCCTTCAGAGATTGGACTCTCTCCTGGGCATTGACACGGTCTGCTTCCTGCATTTCTCTGCTTGCATTGAGTCTCCCTTGAGATTCAACCTCCTTCTTGGGGTTACTTTTCTTCTGGGGTCTCTTTCACTAGCACAGCACTGTGATGTTTGGCTCCGTCACGTTCCTTCTAGTTCTGCAGCCTTTGTGGAGAGGGGGATGTCTTATTGAACTGTAAAGACATTGACACCATCTCTTAGATTGGGTAAAACTGTTTCTTCAAAGTGAAGGTCCTGCCTCCCCTTCACCTTGCAGTCAAAGTGAAGCCCCCGTTCCCTCATTGGGGGTGAGGAGGAGTTGTGGATTGCTGGCCTGGCCTGACCAGGATTTCAGGTGCAGAGCTCTTAGCATACTTAAGAGGAATTATTGTTGGGATTTATTTTTTAGATGCCAAGAGGAAACTTGGAGACTGTTCACCACCGAGCCCTCGTTCTGGCCCAGATTCGGAAGTGGTTGGACAGGTGAGTGTCACTAATGTGTATCAGCCTGCGTCCCCCAGGCTCTGTGGTGTGAGCAGCTGGAGGAGGGTGGCACTGTCCTGGTGGGATATTGACCGGGACCTGCAGAATGACGGCATTAAGCTAGACTGAAAGGGGACTGCTTCGGGAGAGTTCTCAAAGAGTTCTGACTTAGCAAGTGGAGACAAACCAGTTCTAGCAGTTGGGCACTCCAGGTAACTGCCACCTACAAGCAGAGCCATCTCAACATTTCTCTTATTTATGTATAGCTTGTGCTACGTGCTTTAGTCCCTGCTGCAAGGAGCTTGTTGATCAAAAGGACAGACAAGTAGGTAGAGGTTAGGAGACGGGAACAACAATAGGCAAATTACATGGAGGTCACATCTTGATTCACTGTGAGTGAATGGGAGAAATGCCATCTCTTCCCCTCCCCATAATTATAACTTATCCTGGACGACAAGGCTGCCTCGTGGTATAAAACCTTGCTCAGTGTCATTGTTCTAATGGAACAGAAAAGCACCTGACACTACAGCTGAATAGATAGTTGATTTTTTTTCTTTTTCTGTTTCTTTTCAGCTATTGAACCAAAAAATCTGGGCAGAGGGGAAATGATTTTGGGTTAAACCTGGAAATGAAATTTTTCACTTTTTCCTCTCCAAAATGAAATGGGTGGGGTTTTTTTTTTTGGTTATGCTTTTGGGTGTGTTTTACATGTTAAAATTTTTTTAAAAACTCCTGGCTAAGTTTCAAAGTGAAATATAGGTTTGAGAAGTTTCACTTCAAGAATGTCAATGAACTGTTGGGACTTTTTCTAATTTTTTTCATTTAGGTGTCTGAAACTGCTGAGTTTGAGAAAATATTTTTTCATCTGAAAAGGAATTTTTGGGCAAATAAACTATTCACAGGGAAAAAACTCTGCCCAGCTCTATCTGCGACCAATACACGGTTATCTTTAAACCCAAATGTAACTCTCTTTAAAACTGGCCTACACCTGGTTAAATGCTAACCCAGTGTGATATCTGGCTGGGCCAGGACAGGAACTAGACATGGGCACAGCCAGCCTGCTTTGCAGAGGCAAGGCAGTGAAAATTAAACCATATAGGTTTATTTATAGTCTGGCAACTGTTCTCCTCACTCCCTGTGTATATTAGATTGTAATGCACACTCCTCTCTAAAAACCTGCTGTATTTGACCCTTTCCAACAGGCTTATGTTTAAAGAAGCATTTGAATGTATGAGGAAGCTGAGAATCAACCTCAACCTTCTTTATGATCACAATCCCAAGGCAAGTTTGAGTTGCGCTTGTACCTCCCCTTGCATGTTTTCCTGCCTCCCAGGGAGAGTGGGATTTGCCAGAGGATATTGTGAAGGCTAAGACTATAACAGGGTTCAAAAGGAAACTAGATAAGTTCATGGAGGATAGGTCCATCAATGGCTATTAGCCAGGATGGGCAGGAATGGTGTCCCTAGTCTCTGCTTGCCAGAAGCAGGGAATGGGCGACAGGGGATGGATCACTTGATGATTCCCTGTTCTGTTCATTCCCTCTGAGGCACCTGGCACTGGCCACTGCCAGAAGACAGGATACTGGGCTAGACGGACCACTGGTCTGACCCAGCATGGCCGTTCTTATGTAATCAGTGTTCATAAAGCTCTGTCAGCACCACTTCAGAGTCCCACTGGCCAATTAGGGGAGGAAGCTTTTTCTGGCGACAGAGGAGGCCGAAGGCAGCAGTGTTAGTGGAGCCTGTGCTGCTTGTATCTACTAAGGCCTTGATCCTGCAAGTGGATCCATGTGGGTGGATTCTCAGCAGAGGGGCACAGATCTGAGTGAAGGATAGAGCTCCTAGGGCTGTGTCGATAACTTTGTTCCATGTCACACTTGGAAGTTTATCTCCCCTGAGCTGGCCTTGCCTTGTACTGAACAGCTGCCATGAGAGCTTGGGGCATGGGGTACCCAGGTTCTTAAGGATGGTACCCAGTGCTATAGAGCTCATACTCTTTGCATGCAAAGAACTACAGCGTGTCCAAATGGTAAGAGTAGGGTAACTCGGGTTTAGAGTTGGATATGCCCATGTGCACGTTTAAATGACCCTTTGAAGTCTCTCTGTGTGTTTTTGTGTTAATATGCATGTCAGTAACAGCATCAGCACTGAAAGGGTTTTGTTCACTTCAGGTTTTTCTGGAAAATGTGGAAACCTTCATAAAACAAATAGATTCCGTGAATTACATCAACTTATTTTTCACCGAGTTGAAGTAAGTATTGGTCTTCTGATAAAAGAACACTGGTAAATAAAGCCGCAGTATCATTGTTCTGGAAGCTGGAGATGGGGGCTGGATCTCAAAGAACCAGAGGATTCAGTCTGACCAAGTGGATGGTGACTTCTTCTAACTGCCAGGCTAGCTGGCTGTGGGCCTGGTCCATCCAGGCAGAGGAATTCAGCAAGATGGACTCACTTGTGGCTATTGGTTTGATTTGGCCAACTGGGGACTTACATTTTGTTTGGCTGTCGCAGTTTGTAATAGGGCTGTCAATTAATCACAGTTAACTCACGCCATTTAGAGTCATGCCATAACTCTAAAAAAAAAATTAATTGCAATTAAAAAAATTAAGCGCAGTTTTAATCACACTGTTAAATAATAGAATACCAATTGAAATTTATTAAATATTTTGGATGTTTTTCTACATTTTCATATACATTGTGTTCTGTATTGTAATTGAAATCAAAGTGTATATTATTTTTATTACAAATATTTGCATTGTAAAAATGATAAACAAAAGAAATAGTATTTTTCAGTTCACCTCATACAAGTACTGTCGTGCAATCTTTGTCATGAAAGTGCAACTTACAAACGTAGATTTTTTTTGTTACATAACTGCACTTAAAAACAAAACAATGTAAAATTTCAGAGCCTACAGTTCCACTCAGTCCTACTTCTTCTTCAGCCAATTGCTAAGACAAACAAGTTTGTTTACATTTACAGAAGATAATGCTGCTCTCTGGTTATTTACAATGTCACCAGAACCTGTGAACAGGCATTTGCATGGCTTATAGCTGGCATTGCAAGGTATATTTACATGCCAGATATGCTAAACATTCGTATGCCCTTTCATGCTTTGGCCACCATTCCAGAAGTCCTGTTTCCATGCTGATGACTCTTGTTAAAAAAAATAATGTGTTAATTAAATTTGCGACTAATCTTCTTGGGGGAGAATTGTATGTCTCCTGCTCTGTTTTACCCACGTTATACCATATAGACTCATAGACTTTAAGGTCAGAAGGGACCATTATGATCATCTAGTCTGACCTCCTGCACAACGTAGGCCACAGAATCTCACCCACCCAATCTCACCCACCCACTCCTGTAACAAACCTCTAAACTATGTCTGAGCTATTGAAGTCCTCAACTCGTGGTTTAAAGACTTCAAGGTGCAGAGAATCCTCCAGCAAGTGATCTGTGCCCCACGTTGCACAGGAAGGCGAAAAACCCGCAGGGCCGCTGCCAATCTGCCCTGGAGGAAAATTCCTTCCGGACCCCAAATATGGCAATCAGCTGAATCCTGAGCATATGGGCAAGACTCACCAGCCAGATACCCAGGAAAAAATTCTCTGTAGTAACTCAGATCCCACCCTGTCTAGCATCCCATCACAGGCCATTAGGCATATTTACCGCTAATAGTCAAAGATCAATTAATTGCCAAAATTAGACTATCCCATTGTACCATCTCTTCCATAAACTTATCAAGCTTAGTCTTGAAGCCAGATAGGTCTTTTGCCCCCACTGCTTCCTTTGAAAGGCTGTTCCAGAACTTCACTCCTCTGATGGTTAGAAACCTTCATCTAATTTCAAGTCTAAACTTCCTGGTGGCCAGTTTATATCCATTTGTTCTTGTGTCCACATTGGTACTGAGCTTAAATAATTCCTCTCCCTCCCTGGTATTTATCCCTCTGATATATTATAGAGAGCAATCATATCTCCCCTCAGCCTTCTTTTGGTTAGGCTAAACAAGCCAAGCTCCTTGAGTCTCCTTTCATAAGACAGGTTTTCCATTCCAAGGATCATCCTAGTAGCCCTTCTCTGTACCTGTTCCAGTTTGAATTCATCCTTCTTAAACATGGGAGACCAGAACTGTGCACAATATTCCAGATGAGGTCTCACCAGTGCCTTGTATAACGGTACTAACACCTCCTTATCTCTACTGGAAATACCTCGTCTGATGTATCCCAAGACCACATTAGCTTTTTTCACGGCCATATCACAGTGGTGGCTCATAGTCATCCTGTGATCAACCAATGCTCTGAGGTCCTTCTCCTCCTCTGTTACTTCCAAGTAATGCGTCTCCAGTTTATAACAAAAATTCTTGTTATTAATCCTTAAATGCATGACCTTGCACTTTTCACTATTAAATTTCATCTTATTACTATTACTCCAGTTTACAAGGTCATCCAGATCTTCCTGTGTGACCTGCATCCCTAGCCCTAACATAATATTTCATATCAGTCTTGGATGATGACCCAGCACATGTTCATTTAAGAACAATTTCACTGTAGATTTGACAAAATGCAAAGAAGGTACCAATATGAGATTTCTAAAGATAGATACAGCACTTGACCCAAGATTTAAGAATTTGAAATGCCTTCCAAACTCTGAGATGGACGAGGTGTGGAGCATGCTTTCAGAAGCCTTAAAAGAGCAACACTCCAATGCGGAAACTACAGAACCTGAACCACCAAAAAAGAAAATCAACCTTCTGCTGGAGGCATCTGACTCAAATAATTAAAATTAACATGTCAGTCTGAACTACTTTGGATTGTTATTGAGCAGAACCCATCGTTAACATGAACGCATGTCCCCTGGAATGGTGGTTGAAGCATGAAGGAACCTATGATTCTTCTTCAAGTGATTGCTCGTGTGTATTCTACAATAGGTGTGCGTGCTTGCCATGTGCACTGGTGCCGGCAGTTTTTCCCCTAGCAGTACCCATGGCGGGGAGCGTCCCCGCGACCCCTGGAGTGGTGCCTGCCTGGCGCGGTATAAAGTGAGCTGCACGCTCCCCCCACCCTCAGTTCCTTCTTGCTGCCAGTGAAGGTGCGTTGGAACTGCTCTGCTCCAGCTTTGCTGTAGCTCGTCCCTAGAACTGTTCGTTTGTTCAATGTTAGTACCTGTAGTTAGTTAGCTGTCTGTTTAGTTTAGTCGGTGAGCCCAGGCCGGGGCATGCCCCGCTCCCCGGGATTTAAGTTGTGTGGCTCTTGTAGGCGTTCTGGTCCAGAAAGTGACCGCACACAGATGGTTTGCGCTGTTTGGGAGAAACCCATATCAGCGAAAGGTGCAAGATTTGCAAGTCGTTTAAGCCTCAGACCAAAAGAGAAAGGGTCATTAGGCTCCGGGCCGTCCTGATGGAGTCAGTGCTTGACCCCGGCACGCCGCTCCAAACTGGGAACCAGCACTGCGGCGTTGGTGCGCGGCAACCCTCCAGTGCCATCGACCAGTCGGCACCGCTCCCTGTCCACGGGGCATGCCAAGAGAGCCAGGAAGACTCCCTCTTCGCAGCAGCACTGAGGGAAGTGTGGGACAGAGGCTAGGCCCATGTCGGGCCATCCTTGATCCCCACCGGGCCCCAGGCCTTTGACTCATGTTGTATGGAGTAGCCTGGCCCCTTCGGAGCAGGCCTCTCCAGATGTCCAGATGCCATCCATGCCTGAAGCCCTCCAGGCAGCCCGGGACATTATGTCCATGCTGCTGCCTGGTGCGCCGCCAATGTCGGCCCCACGCTCCAGAGGCAAGCCGCCGCTGGGATCTCCGCAGTCGCCTCTGGCCCGGTACCGGTCTCGGTCGAGGGAACATTCCCGACACTGCCCAGCGACCGCTCGGGGCAGAGTCCATGTGGATCGCCCTTGATGCCAACCAGACTCTCTGGCTGGGTTCCATCTGGCCGGGACTCTTGACACCGCTCGTCCTCAAGGAGCGAATATCGATGGGACCGTGGCGGGCGTCGCCAACGGTCCTCGTCTTGGAGAGGGCACCACAGTTGATCACGGCACGCTTGTCGACGCTGTTCCCGCTCGGACTCTTGCTCCAAGTCTCCGCCAAGACATCGCAGCCCCAGGCGTCGATCGCCGGCGTGTCGCCGTCGCGGGTCTGCCCATCGAGGCCGTTCGCGGAGCAGCTGTTATTGTCGGTACCGGTTCTCCACGTCGAGATCGCGGTCCCGTGGCCATGGTAGATCCCAGCACCACCGCTCCTTCCGGTCCTGTGACGACAGCAGATCTTACGCCAGCCCGGTCTCGTCGTAGCCGTCCCTCGGTGGGCCAGGCCAGCCAACCCGAACAGCCGGCCCCGCCGGTGCCGCAGCAGGTGCAGTGGCACCGAGTGCTGTGGCCGGCCCAATGGTACCTGTGGGCACCGTGGCCTCTGGCACAGCCCCCGGTGGGAGCCCGCTCGGTGGCCAGAGCTTCGGAGGCACCGTCGGCCTCCCTCTCCAGACCCCCAAGAAAGGAGTCAATGGAACGTACATCCTTGGCACTTTGCCAGGTGGTGGACCCTCCAGTGCCGGACGATACCCAGAGCACAGCACTGGCTTCCTCGCCCCGCCCACAGAGGCAATTGCAGCCCCACGCGCGCCCCCACGCCTCCCGGCCCACAGGAGAACTTCAGGGCCCATCAAGAACTCTTAAAGAGTGTGGCAGCAAGCCTCCACCTCCAGGCAGAGGAGATGGAGGAGCCCTCAGACTCCCCGTTTAACGTGTTGTCACCGAGTAGGATGGCCTCGCCTCTCCATGAAGGGGTGGCTAAGATTTCAAATTCCCTGTGGCAAACACTGGCCTCATTGGCCCCAATCTCTAAAAAGGTGGAACGCAAGTCCTTTGTACCCACTAAAGGGCATGAGTACTTGTATACCCACCTGGCATCCAAGTCCCTGGTGGTCGAGACAGTCCTCCACTGGGAATGGCAGGGTCAGCTTCCAGTTACAAGGCGCAAACCATCAGGCTCTCCTGGACGGTACAAATTCAATCTGTGGGGCTCCCTGCCCAAGTTTGAGGACTCCCTCCAGAAGCGCAATAGGAAGGAGTTCAAGGCACAAGTGGAGGAAAGGGCAGCCTCCGCAAAGGCATCCCTGCAGGCAGCCTTGGATGAGACGGGCGTCATGGCTCCTGCTCTCTGGGCTGTCCAGCGAGGCGCAGTCTCCCACACAGTATCTCCCGTCTGACGGGAAAGCTCTGTTTGCGGAGGAAACAGAGTCAAGGCTGCATGGCATGAAAGACTCCCGCACAACCCTCCAGACTCTGAGAGAGACTAAGAAGACTGGGACAAGAGCAAGTAGGACAGAGTGCGTGCAGATTGTCCTCCTTCTAACCTCATGAAGATTCTCTGGAAAAGATAACACAAACCAAGGCTATTATCCTTTCCACACATCCTTCCTATGTCATGGTTCCGGCAAAACCAAAGTTCAAGCCGCAGCAGACTCCCACCCAGGCCGCCCTCCTGAAGTATGAGGCTGCCCATAAGAAGCAGCGGGACTATAAGAGATGCCCTCAGAGGCAGTCTCGGCCTGCCCCCCAGCCCGGGTCCTCCAAGGGCAAGCAGGCGGGGAAAAGGCGTTTTTGACGGGATGCTCGGCGACACCCCACCAGTCCTCACCAGTGTTCCAATAAAGCTACCCTTCTCCAACCGGTTGTGTGCTTTCCTTCCAGAATGGTCGCGGCTAACCTCAGACCGATGGGTCCTCAACACCATCTCCTGGCGTTACACCCTCCAGTTTACTTCCTCCACGCCCAACCGCCCCCGTCCCTATTGGGGGACCCCTCGCACGAAGCTCTGCTCGAGCAGGAGGTGGGGCGGCTCCTAGGACTAGGAGCAATAGAGGCGGTGCCCAAGGAGTTCATGGGCAAGGGGTATTACTCCTGTTGTTTCCTTATCCCGAAGGCCAAAGGGGGGCTCAGGCCCATCCTGGACCTGCGAGATCTGAACCAGTACATGGTGAAACTCAAGTTCCTCATGGTCTCCTTGGCCTCCATCATCCCCTCCCTGGATCCCCGGGTCTGGTACGCTGCCCTCGATCTACAGGACACGTACTTCCACATCCACATATTCAAGGGGCACAGGCGCTTCCTCCATTTCATAGTGGGACAGAATCATTACCAATTCACGGTCCTCCCATTTGGTCTGTCCACTGCCCCCAGGGTGTTTACAAAATGCATGTTGATGGCAGCGGCCTACCTCAGACGGCGGGGGGGGAGGGGGTCCAGATATTTCCCTGTCTGGACAATTGGCTTGTCAAGGGCACCTCCCGGTTGCAGGTGAGGGATCATGTGGCGCTCCTCCTGTCCACGTGCACCGCCTTGGGCCTGTTGGTAAACAGCACCAAATCCATGTTAGTCCCGGTCCAATGCATAGAGTTTATCAGGGCGCTCCTGGACGCTGTGTCGGCCAGGGTGTCTCTCCCGCCAGACAGATTTGAGACCCTGAAAAGTCTCATTGACTCGGTCACAAGGTTCCTGGTGACAACAGCCAGGGTTTGCCTGCAACTCGTGGGTCACATGTCAATGTGCATGTACATGGTCTGTCACGCCAGACTCAGGATGAGGCCCCTCCAGCTCTGGTTGGCCTCGAAGTTCTCTCAGGCCATAGACAGGATGGACAAGGTCCTCACCGTGCCGGACTCTGTGATCACCTCCCGACAAAGTGAGCACTGTACACTTTGTAGTCTGTGTTGTCATTGAAATCAATATATTTGAATATGTAGAAAACATCCAAAATATTTAAATAAATGGTATTCTATTATTGTTAGACAGTATGATTAATCACACTGTTTTTAATTGCTTGACAGCCCTAGTTTGTATTTTTTTCTGGTTTGCCGTGCGAATGTGAATGTTTGAGAAAATCTCACCAGTTGCGTCAGTAGTTGACTCCTCTGATTTAGTGGTCTCCTGTGAGGAATTGCAGAGGGGAATAAGGAAACCCTTTTTATCTAAGGTCTGTGTCCAGGATTATTGTTCAGGCTCCTGACTAATTTTTCAGAAGGCTGAGTATGATTTTCTCCCTTTAAAGTCACTAGGAACTGCTGGTTTGCTCAGCACTTCTGAGAATCAGGCCACTTCTTTAGATACCTGAATATGGAGTGTGGAGTCTCATTTTGAAAATCTCAGCCTTAAATCTTTGTTTGGGAACCTAAACAAACGGCTTACTTTTCAAAAGTGCCAAGCACGCAGCAGTTCAGACTAAGGAGTTAGGAGATTAACGTTAGGCTCCCATTTAAAAAAAAAAAGCTTGGCCTGTGATTTTCATGCAAACTGTTACAGTAATATCCTGAGCAATCGTCGTCTTATCAGAAGTGTCTGAGCCCTCCTGCCTGAGGCGCTCCAGTTGTCTGAAAAATTAAAAATCATCTTGAAATGGAGTCTACCTGTTGCCTGGTATCACTTGTAGAGTAGAAGTTTTATGTTTCCCTGGGGAGAGGATAAGAGAACAAACCATGTGTGATGGATATTAATCCACGTCATGAGTCCTTTCCAGTTGTGCCAGATGATGAAAGGATAAGGAACTACATAGAAGAAAGAGTACCAGTAATCGTAAAGTGTGGATTTTTGTGCATGGTACAGCAACTCGTCATTTAACGTTGTCCGGGTTAATGTTTCCTCATTACGTTGCTGATCTATGAGGGAACAAGGTCATTTAAAGTTGTGCAATGCTCCATTGTAGTGTCTTTGGCAGCTGCCTGCTTTGTCCACTGCTTGCAGGATTCTCTGGAAGAGCAGCCCCGCCTTGTGGGGATTAGAACCAGGGGGGCTGGCAGCTCCCCTCCCCCACCCACCCCCACCCCGCATGAGCGCCCCTAATTTCCCTCTAAGGTCTGTGGCTGGGCAGCTGCCCGGGAGCAGTTCAGCTGTCCCTCCCGCCACCGCCCTGCTGCTCCTGCCCTGCCCTCTGCCTGGGAGCTGCTCCCAGGAGCTTCCTGCTTGCTGGGGGAGAGGGGTGCTGATATCAGGATGTCACCCTGCTCCTGCCCGCCCACTCTGTACCCCCTCTCCACAAAGCAGAGGATGGGAACTGGGCTTGGGACAGAAAGGAGGTAACTTGCTGGAAGCTGTTGCTTCCTGTCTGAGTTGGCTGATCTGCTTAAAAGGGCAATGTACTTGAAGTGGCGTCAGCATACTTAAAGGGGCAATGCATGTCTCTCTCTCTCACTCATGCCCGAACACCCCAGCACTTTGGAAAGTCGGCACCTATGCAGCCGTGCATGTGCTGTCAGGAGGAGGGAGTGGTGCGCTCCAGCTGGATAGCGTGAGCTCATCGTCATGTTCAGTTTTTTCAGGGAAGAGTTTGCAGCTACTGTCCTGCATCTGTTGTGTTTCCTCCCTCCTGCCTCAGTCCATGCTGCCTTGTAGAGTGTGAGGCTACATTAACAACAGCGTATTAACCCTTGAGGGCTCAGCCCAGTGCTAGTTCATCATTTAGCAGCAAGGCATTCCCTGGGAAATATCCCATCCCTTTACTCCACCACCTCAACCAAGCTTCACAATCATTCATTGCTGTGTACAATATTAAACTGTGCTTAAAATTGCTTAAAGTTTAGTGTATATGTATATAATGTCTTTTGTCTGGTGAAAAACATTTCCCTGGAACTTAACCCCCCTATTTACATGAATTCTTATGGGGAAATTGGAATCGCTTAACATCATTTCGCTTAAAGTCTCATTTTTCAGGAACATTACAATGCTAAGTGAGGGGTTACTGTATGTATCTTCTGACATGAGTATTTGTGCTGGGCTGTGACTTGGGATCCAACTAGCGTTTATAGTGCATATTTCTTCTTAGAGAAGAAGACTTCACAAAGACTATGTACCCATCTCCAGTTAGCAGCAACGTCCAGCTACAACAGTGTCCTGATCAGAAAAAAGTAGACCTTATCTGTGATGCAATGAGAGCTGCCATGGAAAACATCAATCCTCAAAAGTAAGTGAAATGCCGTCTGCAATTTAGAACAGAACAGTAATAGAAAGTCATTTTTTAGAGCTGGCTAAAAAGTAAGAAAAAAGCTTTTAATTTCAGAGGATTGGAAGTGAAGCCCTATTTTTCTTTAAAAAAACATTCTGAAAATGTAAGACATTTTTCACATACTGACAACTAGCTTTTGATGAATGAAAAACTGAATTTTTTCAGAAATTTTATTTAAAACTTTTAACAAAAAATCAAAATTTTTGACAGAGTGGGGAAAATGTTTTGGTGAAAGATTTTACTTCGGGAAAAAAGGCTGTTTTTCCACAATAAACGTCGTTTTTTACCAAAAAAAATGTTGACTAGCTTTAGTGACTTGCACTTAGCTCTGTCGCCCAAAGGTAAAGGCTCGTGGGGTGAGGAAGCTAGTTCTCTGTTTTAATTAAGGCAAATCATCAGTGTTTATACATGTACTATATCCCAGGGATCATCCCAGGCAAAATGTTCCTCCTTGATATGTTCTTCACCCTTTTTTCTTTCCAAATAAAAAAACAAAATCCCCAAATCCCAGCCCTTCCATTAAAGCAAAGACTACCCTAAAATACTCAATGATAGAACTTAAAAAATACAGTAGAACCTCAGAGTTAAGAGCATCTTGGGGATTGAGGTTGTTCGTAACTCTGAACAAAATGTTATGGTGTTTTTTTCAGAAGTTTACAGCTGAACATTGACTTAATACAGCTTTGAAACTTTACTATGCAGAAGAAAATGGTGCTTTTAACCATCTTACTTTAAATGAAACAAGCACAGAAACAGTTTCCTTAACCGTGTCAAATCTTTTAAACTTTCCCTTTGTTTTTTTTTTTTTAGTGGCTTACCTTTAACACAGTACTGTATGGTATTTGTTTTTTGTTGTTGTTGTTGTTTTTGGTCTTTGCTGCTGGCTGGCTGTGTACTTTTGGTTCCAAGTGAGGTGTGTGGTTGACTGGTAACTCTGGTGTTCATAACTCTGCGTTTCTATTGTAGATTGTTGATCTTCTCCTTCTGATTGGTTTCTTGCTTTGTTTCTTGTTGTCTGTTTCCCTCAGATACTATCTTTCAATACTGACATCCCATGTGAAGAAAAGCACCCCAGAACTGGAAATTGCCCTCCAAAAAGTGCACGAGCTGCGAGGTACAGTGCTCCTAGTTCAGATGGCAACTAAAGGGCTGCACACCTGGGGAGAGAACTACTTAACGTTATTTATCCTGATTTTTTACTCTGAACAATAACAGAAATTTGTCCAGGCCTCACAAAGTTCAGTTCAGAAGTTAGCTGTGACAATGAAGTGAAGTTAGCTGTCACAATGAAATAGCACTGGATAGCACGGAAGAGACAGAGTCACACGTGGTTACTGTTGCCTGCTGTTGTGATCATTATTCTGCAGTCAGGGATTGGTTAATCATGTCCGTGAATGAGCTTGGGTGTTTTAGCTGCCTCCTTGAGCCCTGTTTTTTGCACAGATGTTCTGTGAGCCCCGTGCCTGTTTGCTGGTCACTCAGTCTGGCACACTTGACTGTCATTCTGCAGTGATATAGGCAGGATGCAAGTTTTGTTGTCCCTTGCTTCAGGCCAGGCCCTGAAGACTGCCATGCTGTTGTTCAGGTTACTACGTGAATAACTGAGGCAGGCATCCCCAGCATCCCCTCTTTCAAGCACAAAACTGAATGAATCCTTAGAGCAGGGGGACTGCCAGTCTGCCTCTGAAATCAGACCATGCTGTTTCTAGTGAGCTAAGTGAGCGTGCGTTCTTGTGGTGTGCCTGGAACTCACGGGAACAGCCTTCGATTGGTGCAAGGTACAAGTGATTTTTGATGGCTCTGTTTCCTACGATTACAGAGACTGTTTCACCAGCAGCTGAGGGGGTGACTGCAGAGGCAGCGCTGAAGTATCTGCTCTTCCTGGTTGACGTCAATGAACTGTACGATCACTCCTTGGGCACATACGACTTTGATCTGGTTGTCATGGTGGCAGAGAAGTCTCAGAAGGTCATTGTGACACTACTTGTCCTTACCGCTTTCTGATTTTCAAAACAAAATTACCAAAGTTTCAAAGGTGGATCAGTTGACACTTCATTTCCAAACCATAACTCTGTACCAGTCCAGACACCCATCTTCCCGCACTAAAGTACAAGTGCCCTCACGGGCTAGCCTTCCAGCCCCTGACTGTCACATCAGCACTGTTTGGGAAATCACCCACTCAAGTTTGGGGAATACACCCTCCCTGGGGCAAGAGTGCTCTGTCCTTAGAGTGCAGAGTTAATGGGGTGCTGAGTTTGTGCCACTAGTGAGGGGTTCATCTCTGGAGGGAGGTGTAGAAATCTTGGCTTTCCACTTCTGTGCTTTTGAGGTGATCAGGTACATGGTGTGCAGTGACCTTAGCTGAGTGACAGCATGTATGCGTGTGAATTTTCCAGTTGGGTTTAGTTTAGGAGAGGCTCTCCATGGGATACCCATCCAGCTTAGGACTCTGTTTCTGAACTGGCTGGTACTTCACAGAGATCCCCAACTGCAGGGAAGGAGCTGCCACTGGCCATCAAGTAAAACACTGTTTATAGTGTTAGGGGTTTCTTCTCAACCATTAAGGTGGGAAACACTTTTTTAAAATGAAATGTGAGATTCTGGAATATCCACTTGTTGGCAAAAAGTCAGATGAAACAGAGAAGGAAACAGTTTTGATGAATGTTGTCAGGACATCAAAAATTAACACAATCATAAACTGAAAAAAGGGCCGTCCTTAGTCTGTCCATGAAATGCTGCTAAAATCCAAATGAGAGTTGATTTTCAAATCTCAAAGCCAGTAATGAACTAGCTAGAAGGGCCTAAAATCATAAACCAGTGGTTCTGAATTGGGGTTACGTGTACCCTTGGGGGTACGCAGAGGTCTTCCAGAGGATACATCAACTCATCTAGATATTTGCCTAGTTTTACAACAGGCTACATAAAAAGCATTAGCAAAGTCAGTGCAAACTAACATTTCATGTAGACAATGACTTGTTTATACTGCTCTATATACTGAAATGTAAATACAATATTTATATTCCAGTCAATTTATTCTATAATTATATGGTAAAAATGAGAAAGTAAGCCATTTTTCAGTACTAGTGTGCTGTGACATTTTTGTATTTTTATGTCTGATCTTGTAAGCAAGTCGTTTTTAAGTTGAGCTGAAACTTGGGGGTACGCAAGACAAATCAGACTCTTGAAAGGGGTTCAATAGTCTGGAAAGGTTGAGAGCCACTGCTGTAAACCATCCAGAGGGAGTGATATTTAGTAACTCTCCAGCTAGCAGATTTGATTGGTAGTTCCAGCTTTCCTTGCTGATTATGGGCTGCATGTTGGGAGAGATGCAGTTGCCAGGATATTATTTGACTGAGCAGTTTGACATATAAGGGGCAATGCAGTTATCTGATGTGCTTTTCAGGACCCTAAGGAGTACCTGCCATTCTTAAACACCCTCCGGAAAATGGAAACCAACTATCAACACTACACTATAGACAAATATCTGAAAAGGTACAAGAAGGCACTCTGCCACCTCAGCAAATGTGGTAAGTGCCCTGCACGTATTGTGTCTCTGGGACACGATTCTCTGTTCTAGCATTTCACTTCCTTCTACAGAATAGGGTAAAAAGAAAATGAGTGTCCCAGAAAGTCAGTGTGGGATCCTTGTTTCGCTTTGTTGCTGTTGCACGGTTTAACTTCATTACTTGATTTTATACCTTGCTTTGGAAAGACACTTTTTATGAAGGGCTCCTTTGCTGAAGTACAAGTTCTGTCGTAAAAGTGGCTTGTAAAGGAAGCAAGTTGATCGTTAGGCTCTGTTTTGTTGTGGGCATGCAGAGATGGCATTGTGTGGCTGAAATAATGGCACGGTCATTAGTTCCTGCGTCCTGAATGGCTCAGATCGCTTCATTGTTGTTCAGGTTGTGGCCAGGAAACAATCCTGGCTCCTACGACAAAAGGCTGTGGTGGGTCCAGGCCTGCATCCCCTGTCCTACAGAAGCTAAGCTGTAGCTCGGTGATACTCGGATCTTAGTGGTTCAGGAGCCAAATCAGTGATCAGCCCAGGAATGTGAACTCTTTGTTCATTTACTGTAGTTCTGTAGATTCATATTTAAACAGTAGTACCGAGGACATATTTAACTTGTATGTATTTCTTACAGCAAAATGACTGAGCAAGTATTACTATTTTATGAACTACAATTGGTTAATACTAGGGCTGTCAATTAATCGCAGTTAACTCATGCGATTAACTCAAAAAAACTAATCGTGATTAAAAAAATTAATTGCACTGTTAATAGAATACTAATTGAACCTTATTAATATTTTGGATTTTTTCTACGTTTTCATATATACATTGTATTCTGTGTTGTAATTGAAATCAAAGTGTATGTTTTTTTTTATTACAAATATTTCCACTGCAAAAATGATAAAAGAAATAGTATGTTTCAGTTCACCTCATCAAAGTATTGGAGTGCAATCTCTTTGTTGTAAAAGTGCAACTTACAAATGTAGATTTTTTTTTGTTACATAACTGCACTCAAAAACAAAACAATGTACAACTTCAGAGCCTAGAAGTCCACTGAGTCCTACTTCTTGTTCAGCCAATCGCTAAGACAAACAAGTTTGTTTACATTGACAGGAGATAATGCTGCCCACTTCTTATTTACAATGTCACCAGAAAATGAGAACAGGCATTTGCATGGCACTTTTGTAACTGGCACTGCAAGGTATTTATGTGCCAGATATGCTAAACATTCATATTCCCCTTCATGCTTTGGCCACCATTCCAGAGGACATGCTTCCATGCTGATGAAGCTCATTAAAAAAATGTGTTAATTAAATTTGTGACTGAATTCCTTGAGGGAGAATTGTATGTCCCCAGCTCTGTTTTACCCACATTATGCCATATATTTCATGTTACAGCAGTCTTGGATGATGACCCAGCACATGTTGTTCATTTCAAGAACAATTTCACTGCAGATGTCACAAAATGCAAAGAAGGTACTGTGATAGACCTAGGCCCGTTGGGTACAGTAGAGTAGAAGGCAGATATACTGGCCACTGGATAAGTAATTTTCTGTTCCCTGACTGACCAGAGCAGGGGCTGCTCCAGGCTAATGAGAACACCTGACTCCAATTAACCTGCAGAGAGTCAGGTGAGGCCATTAAGCTAATGTGAACACCTGACTCTAATTAAGGCTCCTCTGATACTCTAAAAGGGCTCACTCCTGTCAGGCCGAGGGGAGCCAGAGGAGAGGAAGTGCTGCTGAAGGGCTGGGTAATGAAGACAACCTCAAGCCGCTGGAAAGGGAGCCATATGGTAAGGGTGAAGATGGCATTAAGAGAGAGAAGCGGGAGAGCTGTGGGGAAGTGGCCCAGGGAAATGTAGCAACTCTGGCAGTGAAAGGTCGGCTGCTAACAGCTGCTGCCGTTAGGGTCCCTAGGCCGGAACCTGGAGTAGAGGACAAGCCCAAGTTTCCCCCAACCCGCCACTACAGAAACACCTCCTGGGAGGGGAAGACAGGCCCTTGTCAGGACAGGAGGCTAAACTGTTCAGGAATAAGCCCATAGGGACAACAGAGACTGTGGGAGTTCTCTCACCAATCTCCTTGCTGGCTTATGATGAAAAGGGCTCAGTAGACTGTAACCCTGGCCCTAGACAGAGAAGGGCTACATGGAGCGTCGCAGGGAGCCTCTGGGGCTAGCATAAACTGCCTGGAAGTGCGGGACCCATGGGGACAAGGTCGGAACTCTGCCACAGTACCAATATGAGATTTCTAAAGATAGCTACAGCACTCGACCCAAGGTTTAAGAATCTGAAGTGCCTTCCAAAATCTGAGAGGGACGAGGTGTGGAGCATGCTTTCAGAAGTCTTAAAAGAGCAGCACTCCAATGCGGAAACTACAGAGCCTGAACCACCAAAAAAGAAAATCAGTCTTCTGCTGGGGGCATCTGACTCTCATAATGAAAATGAACATGCCTCGGTCCATACTGCTTTGGATTGTTATCGAGCAGAACCCGTCATCAGCATGGAAGCATGTCGTCTGGAATGGTGGTTGAAGCATGAAGGGACATACGAATCTTTAGCACATCTGGCATGTAAATATCTTGCAACGCCGGCTACAACAGTGCCGTGAGAATGCCTGTTCTCACTTTCAGGTGATGTTGTAAACAAGCAGCGGGCAGCATTATCTCCTGCAAATGTAAGCAAACTTGTTTGAGTGATTGGGTGAACAAAAAGTAGAATTGAGTGGACTTGCAGGGTCTAAAATTTTACATTTTTAATGCATTTTTTGTACGTAATTTTACATTTGTAAATTCAACTTTCATGATCAAGAGATTGCACTACAGTATTTGTGTGAGGTGAATTGAATCACTCTTTTGGTTTTTTTACAGTGCTAATACTTGTAATCAAAAATAAATATAGAGTGAACACTGTGCACTTTGTATTCTGTGTTGTCATTGAAATCAGTATATTTGAAAATGTAGAAAACTCAAAAAATATTTAAATACATGGTATTCTATTATTGTTTAACAGTGCGATTAATCGTGATTAATTTTTTTAATTGTGTGATTAATTTTTTTGACAGGCCTAGTTAATACCATGGTAAAAGCATCCTGATGGGTTAATAATTAAATTGCACAGTGTTCTAGTATTGTGTGTTGCAAAGAGCCCCTTGTGTATCGCAAGCCCCAGTCTGAGTATCACCGGTGTAGTTGGTAAGTTGTGCCAGGCCCCACAGCTCAACCAGCCAGCCTTTCCTGCAGTGCAAGTGAGCTGGTGAGAGTCGTGACCCTGCCATGCTGTGTCTGTACCACCGGAGGACAGTGAATTGTTTCCCTCAGGTCCAGAGCACTTCTCTGAATTTCTGAACTTGGTGAAGGATCAGAAGTTGTATAACGAAGCCCTGAAGTTGTATCCACCTGATACTCCAGAACACAAGGTGTGTGACACGCGCTGTGAACCTAGGGAGTGGGTCTGCTGTGCTCATGAAAGGCTGGCCCCTGTTGGCTGCAAGGGGTTAATATGGAATGCTTGAAAGCAGGAACTCCTGTTCTTTGCACTGCACTTCCAAACTCTTTTTTTGTTTGATTTTTTTGGGGGTTTTTTTTGTTTGTTTAATGGTGAACGGCAGCTGCTCTTACTGCTGCTCGGTGGGTAGGGGAGGGGATGTTATTAATGAGAAGTGTCTGCAATGCTCCCCATCCCCCTCATTTTGGGGCAGGGGTAAGAGCTGCTGCTCAGGTCCCAATCCTGTGCAGCACTGCTGTTCCTTCACCCCCCCACACCCCACCCTCCCGCATGTGTTCCCTGAGAGATCTCCCCATTGCCCTTCTGAAGTCACCTTGCAGCTTGTGCAATAACTGACCTATTACGGGCAGAAATCCTCAGCAGCGAGAGAACTGCTGCCCTGCAACCAAACCCAGGCCTTGGCCTCATGGGACCTTGCCATGGTGGGCTTCACACTGCCTGCATGGCAGCTGCCCTGAGAACCTACCCAGACCCAGGAGGTGCAGAGCACTATGCATGTGTGCATGCCTGTGCGCTCTCGTCACGTGTGAGAGAGAGAGAGACCGTGCTTGTGCCCTGGGACGTTGGTCAGGGCAGTCTCTAAGCCCTGAGGCTCTGACAGGGAGCCAGCTGGCTACGGTTAGCTAAATCAGGACCAATTTCCTTGGCTCCTCTTTCTTCAGGCCTGCTGGTGATTCCATTGTTGTTGTTTGGTCTGACTCTCGCAGGCTGTCGGCAGTGCCTTTGGGGAGCACTTGAACCAGAAGCATCTGTATGAGCAGGCTGGACTGATCTTTGCCCGCTGCGGTGCATTTGAGAGAGCCCTCGATGCCTTTCTGAGCAGTGGCAGCTGGCAGCTGGCCCTTTGCATGGCCTCTCGGCTTGGTTACACGGCAGATCAGCTGGCTGGCCTTGCAAGGAGCCTGGCAGGTAAGAGTTGTTGGGTGCACATCACACAGGTGGCCATCTGTAGTCATTGGTTCAGTGTGGAACTTTCTGACCCTTCACTGGGAATGTCAGGTTCTTTTTGCAGCAAAAGCCTAGGTTTTTCAGCGGCCAAAACCCTCAGGGAAAAAGGACTGAGCATAGGGCTGAAATATTGCTAAGAGGTGCACCATGCCATGCCACAGCATCCTTACCCAGGCCTGGTGTGCTTAGCTGCCTAGGAGGCATGTAATTCATTGCATGAGCCAGGACCATCAAGGGGGAATACTCTTAGATACTCTACTAGCCTGAAGCAAACCGTTCCAGCGAGCTGTCTTCTGCATCCTCCTCTGGTGGAGGTGTGTTGAGCTTCTCTTCTGACACACTTTGCCAAAACCACTTAGTTTTCACACCGTTCTGCAACAGCGAAGCCCTGTGTCTCGTCCAGGCCTAGTGGCTCTGGGCAGAGCTCTTGTGTGGCTCAGCACTATCCCCATGTACAGGACTGCTTGTGAGAGGAAAGGCTGTGGAAGGAAGCACATTTGCTTGTTCTAGAACAGAGGTCCCCACAGTGTGGGGCGTGCCCCCCTAGTGAGGTGTAGAAGAACGTTGGGGGGAGGGTTGCAGTGGGGCCTGAGCCAGCCTTATGGGCGGGGGCGGAGCCCCATCCAGCCCTGCTCTGGTCCTGCGCCCAGCTGCCTCCACAGCTCCTGGCCCCATTCCCAGTCCCGGCTCCACACCAACCCCTAGCCTTGGCCACTGCCCATGGCTCTGTTCCTGGCCTGGAGCTGAAGGTCGGGGCAAGGTTGGGAGAGGAGCCTCACCAGGCCACGGGCCCAGCTGCCGGCTCCCACCGCAGCCTGGTCGCGGCTCCGACCACAGCCGCAGCCCCACTCTCAGCTGCGGCCCCACCCTCGGCCCCCTTACCCCTGTCCATGTCTCTGCCCCCAGCCATGGCCCTGCTCCCGGCTCGGGGGGGCCAGAGGGGGGCATGGACAGGGGTAAAGGTCCCTCAAAAATTTTGGGACCACTGTTCTAAAAATTGACCCAATAACACATCAGTGGGTTTAATAGTCCCTGTACAATCTGCTCCCCCCAGTCCCCACTCACAATGTGAACAAAATGACTCCCTTGCAGACCCCACCCTCCTCCAGGGCAGGTAAATGTAACTCAGTGTGTTGGGATACAGTGGGGTTGGCCCCAGCAGGGCGGCATGGCTCTGGTGCACCCTCCTCCCTGCTGGTTTGCCGGAAGCCCTTGGCTCCTGTGTGCCCGCTCTCTCATTGGTTGTTATTCCTGTAACTTAAATGGTGACTTAATGCAGCTCCCTGCATAGGGAAGAGGATTGTGAGGGGGCGGGCTGTTCAGTCCAGCAAACAGAGGTCTGATAGATCCAGTGGTGGGAAGATGGAGCTGGACAAAGCTAGATGGGAAGTAAGGCATAAATTGTGAGCAGTGAGGGGAATTAACCATTGGAACAATTTTTTTCATAGATTCAATGCCAAACAGGACCACTGTCATCATCCAATCTGACCTCCTTACCAAAAGTCGTGCTGAGCGTTCCATTGCTGGCAGCTTTAAACCAAGAGCTTTTCTAAAAGAGATGCTCTAGATCATAGAATCATAGAATATCAGGGTTGGAAGGGACCCCAGAAGGTCATCTAGTCCCACCCCCTGCTCGAAGCAGGACCAATCCCCAGTTAAATCATCCCAGCCAGGGCTTTGTCAAGCCTGACCTTAAAAACCTCTAAGGAAGGAGATTCTACCACCTCCCTAGGTAACGCATTCCAGTGTTTCACCACCCTCTTAGTGAAAAAGTTTTTCCTAATATCCAATCTAAACCTCCCCCACTGCAACTTGAGACCATTACTCCTCGTTCTGTCATCTGCTACCATTGAGAACAGTCTAGAGCCATCCTCTTTGGAACCCCCTTTCAGGTAGTTGAAAGCAGCTATCAAATCCCCCCTCATTCTTCTCTTCTGCAGGCTAAACAATCCCAGCTCCCTCAGCCTCTCCTCATAAGTCATGTGTTCTAGACCCCTAATCATTTTTGTTGCCCTTCGCTGGACTCTCTCCAATTTATCCACATCCTTCTTGAAGGGTGGGGCCCAAAACTGGACACAGTACTCCAGATGAGGCCTCACCAATGTCGAATAGAGGGGAACGATCACGTCCCTCGATCTGCTGGCTATGCCCCTACTTATACATCCCAAAATGCCATTGGCCTTCTTGGCAACAAGGGCACACTGCTGACTCATATCCAGCTTCTCGTCCACTGTCACCCCTAGGTCCTTTTCTGCAGAACTGCTGCCTAGCCATTCGGTCCCTAGTCTGTAGCTGTGCATTGGGTTCTTCCGCCCTAAGTGCAGGACCCTGCACTTATCCTTATTGAACCTCATCAGATTTCTTTTGGCCCAATCCTCCAATTTGTCTAGGTCCTTCTGTATCCTATCCCTCCCCTCCAGCGTATCTACCACTCCTCCCAGTTTAGTATCATCCGCAAATTTGCTGAGAGTGCAATCCACACCATCCTCCAGATCATTTATGAAGATATTGAACAAAACCGGCCCCAGGACCGACCCTTGGGGCACTCCACTTGATACCGGCTGCCAACTAGACATGGAGCCATTGATAACTACCCATTGAGCCTGACAATCTAGCCAGCTTTCTACCCACCTTATAGTGCATTCTTCCAGCCCATACTTCCTTAACTTGCTGACAAGAATACTGTGGGAGACCGTGTCAAAAGCTTTGCTAAAGTCAAGAAACAATACATCCACTGCTTTCCCTTCATCCACAGAACCAGTAATCTCATCATAAAAGGCGATTAGATTAGTCAGGCATGACCTTCCCTTGGTGAATCCATGCTGGCTGTTCCTGATCACTTTCCTCTCATGCAAGTTGTCACGGAGTCCCTGGGCGATGCTCTGGAACTGCTCCCCATGAAGCCAGTCAGGACTCTGGGGCAGTCGCCTTTCTGTGAGCAGCCTGTCTTCAGGACACACAGCTCACACAGCTTCCACCTTCCTGGGTCTGACCTCGGAGCATTCAGCATCCTCTGCCCCTCCGTGCGCTTCCCCCCAGCGAGTCCGCTCAGGCGGGGCTCCTGGGGAAGCCAGAGGGTCCTGCATCCCAACTTCGCAGTCAGACGTGACTCTCAGCCATCCAGTAAAACAGAAGGTTTATTAGACGACAGGAACATGGTCTAAAACAGAGCTCGCAGGTGCAGAGAACGGGACCCCTCAGCTGGGTCCATTTTGGGGGGCAGTGAGCCAGACAACCACGTCTGCACTTCACTCCATGTCCCAGCCAGCCCCAAACTGAAAACCCCCTCCAGCCCCTCCTCCTCTGGGCTTTGTTCCTTTCCCGGGCCAGGTGGTCACCTGATTCCTTTGTTCTCCAACCCTTCAGCTCTCACCTTGCAGGGGGGAAGGGCCCAGGTCATCAGTTGCCAGGAAACAGGGTGTCGGCCATTCTCTGTGTCCAGACCCCTGCACACACCTGCCCTCTAGGGCTCTGCAATGATCATACACCCCCACTCCACCCCCTAGATACTTAAGAACTGCCTAGGGGAAACTGAGGCACCCCACACTATTCAGAGGAAACATTAAGAACAGTCCCGCTTCGTCACACAAGTGCTTCAGGATTGATTCTTTGAGGACCTGCTCCATGATTTTTCCAGGGACTGAGGTGAGGCTGACTGGCCTGTAGTTCCCAGGATCCTCCTTCTTCCCTTTTTTAAAGATTGGCACTACATTAGCCTTTTTCCAGTCATCCGGGACTTCCCCCGTTCGCCACGAGTTTTCAAAGATAATGGCCAATGGCTCTGCAATCACAGCCGCCAATTCCTTCAGCACTCTCGGATGCAACTCGTCCGGCCCCATGGACTTGTGCACGTCCAGCTTTTCTAAATAGTCCCTAACCACCTCTATCTCCACAGAGGGCTGGCCATCTCTTCCCCATTTTGCGATGCCCAGCACAGCAGTCTGGGAGCTGACCTTGTTCTTGAAAACAGAGGCAAAAAAAGCATTGAGTACATTAGCTTTTTCCACATCCTCTGTCACTAGGTTGCCTCCCTCATTCAGTAAGGGGCCCACACTTTCCTTGGCTTTGTTCTTGTTGCCAACATACCTGAAGAAACCTTTCTTGTTACTCTTGACATCTCTGGCTAGCTGCAGCTCTAGGTGCGATTTGGCCCTCCTGATATCATTCCTACATGCCCGAGCAATATTTTTATACTCTTCCCTGGTCATATGTCCAACCTTCCGTTAGGAATTAATTAAGGAATTAATTCAGGGAAGTCCTTGGGCCTGAGTTACACGGAAGGGCAGGCAGGATGATCACAGTGGCCCCTTTGGGCTTTAAAAATCTGACTCTTATTAGAAGCTGTTGGTTTTAAAACAGCTTTCTAAAAAGCTTAACTGGATAGTGCAGCACTGGGACCCAGGGGTCAGGGCAGTGGGCTGGGAGTCAGGAGACCTGGGTTCTGGTCCCTGCCCTGCCCTGCTGGGTGAGCCTGGGGAAGTCGTTTCTCGTCTCTTCCATTTCTTTTCCCTCTCTTTGTCTGTGCAGACTGCAGGCTGTTTGTGAAGCGCCAGACATCATGGGGCCCCAGTCTCAGTTGGGCTCTCTGGATTCTCTTGTCATGTACAAAAAGAACAAGGAGTACTTGTGGCACCTTAGAGACTAACAAATTTATTTGGGCATAAGCTTTCGTGGCCTAAAACCCACTTCATCAGATGCATGGAGTGGAAAATACAGTAGGAAGATATATGGCGAAGCTGCTGGGGAATTTTCATGGCACAGCTGCCTTTCCTTTCTCTCCTTTACACCCATTTCTGGTCTGAGAGATGAGCGCTCCTTGAGCAGAGAAGGGATGACTGTTCCTGCAGACCTCATGCTAGCAGTGGGAAGGCTGGGGCAAGTTCTGCATGAGCAAGATCTGTAAGGTCTGGCTCAAGTTTAAATAAAGGAAACCTCCATTTGCTATTACTTACACGCCCGCATGCTCTCTCTCTCTCTCTCTCTCACTCCTGTCTCTCTCTCCCCTAGGCATAGGGAAGATGGATGCAAACAGGCTTCCTTCAGCCAGCCAGAGGAATTAGTATTAGTGGGCTCATGGATGCTACAGACTGACACTGCGGTTTCATTAGCCCCAGTGGTGGGCATCCTCCACTTTTAGATCAGGTCTCTTGTCTGGACCCAAACTCCAGCTATTCCTGAAATGCTTAATTCTGTCCTTCTCTTGTAGGAAAACTAGTTGAACAGAAGAAACATGCTGAGGCAGCCATACTCCTGGAGCAGTATGCACAGGTACCGTGCACCCTGGTGACACCCTCCCGTCTGCCTGCCCTCATACTGATCTCTCGACCCAGGGCTTATGTCCCCTCACTGTCATGTAGACTCCATCTGTTTGGCACCTCTGACAAAAAGATTAACCGGCCTGGGGATGAATAGAAGCTAAGCAGAAGCTATAGGACAGGACAACAAAGCCTGTTGTGTGGTCCCAAGTGTTTATGGAGGGGACTTGTCAGTGGTATGGTTGAGCTGGGTTTAATAAATTTCAGTTGGCTGCCAAGAGTCCTGAAAGGAGCATGTCCGTGCCTGCTGCAGCGATAGCTATTGAAGAATACTGGCACTGGATGTGTTGCGGTTTAAACCACGCTTGTAGAAACACTTAAGTAGACTTGATTTTTGCCCTCTGCTGTAAGGAACTTGAAGCCAGTCTTTCTTCTCACATGCCTGTGGAATGAGTGGCTGCCCAGGAGTGATGCTGGCCCTGGCATTGACGGGCTAGGTTTTGGGATGGCAGGGAGGATAGTGGAGGAAAAAATCAACAAAGCTTGGGGTTAAGATGTCCTTATGCTGAAAATATGTAGATTGGCTTCAGGCAGGGTTTCCTGGCACTGACTGCAGTACAGTTGTGATGGGGATTGTGCTTGAGAAGGTGCAATCCAGGAGCCCAGTGCCCCGTGCCAGAGGTAACGCCTGATTGTAGGACAGTAACCATTGCATACTTGGTCTCCTTTCCCCAGGACTATGAAGAGGCTGTGCTCCTGCTCTTGGAAGGGACCATCTGGGAAGAAGCCTTGAGACTAGTAAGGGCATTCCAAAGTACTAACGCCTAGAGAGTTCCTAGTGTGAGACTGTGTGTGGTCTGTCTCCTGAGAGAACTCTCCACTTCCTCACCTTGCTCTCTCCCCAGATTCACAAATACGGCAGACTAGACATTCTGGAGACCAACTTCAAACCTGCTATCCTAGAAGGTGAGTCTCTTACTGTTGTGAGGAGTCCTCCACGTGGAGGGCTCTCTGCTTGTTTGTAATGGAGTCCAAGGGAATGTGGTGAGACCTGGCATCAGAAGATGTTTGGAAGGTTGTTCATTGGCTCTGCCTAGTTACAAGTGGATGGCTGTTTGTAACGCTGACAGACCCTGGTCGTCAGTGGGCAGGATCGAACCTGGGACCTCTGGAGCTAAATACATGAGCCTCTACTGCATGAGCTAAAAGCCAGGTGTGCCTTAGCTAAGGCTGTAGCAGACTCATTAATATCTCTCTCCAAGTGGTGTCAATGCCACTAGATGGGACAGAGCACCACACCCAGGAGGTGTGTGGGTTACATACTTCTCCTAGCTGAGGAAGCACATCCTGAGCTTCAGAGACTTCCCAGTTGAAATCCCGGACGAGCCCCCACTTGTCACACCAACAAACCATGGTTGTCGGCAGACAGGATTGAACCTGGGACCTCTGGAGCTAAATACATGAGCCTCTACTGCAAGAGCTAAAAGCCACATGGCCCTTAGCTAAGGCTGTAGAGCAGACTCCTTAATATCGCTCTCTCCAAGTGGTCTCGGTGCCACTAGATGGGACAGGGCACCACACCCAGGAGGTATGTGGGTTACATACTCACATCTGACTCTCCTCAGCACAGCTTAGCATGCAGCAACGTGACAAGCATTTTTTACTCAATCTTACCCTCCTTGAGATCAGTGGCAAAATTTGCTCAGACATCAGTGTTGCGTGATGGGATTTATGTGAATGGGGGAGAGTCAGGCTGGAAAATAGGAATATTATTGGTTAGTAAAGGAAGTGCATAGACAGAGCTGTGTGCAGGGAAAGTGTGTGTATATGGAGCTCCTCTGTGGAGGAGTTTCAGGGTGGCTTAGCCTTCCTTCTCCTGCTTTGAGGGCTAAAGGAAGGTGGGCAGATATAGCTGGAGAATTCTCCTTCTCTTGGTGTTGGGGCTGGGAGTTGGGTGCTCTGTTCTCCTGAACCATCTTAATGAAAGTGGAATAGAAGAAGGGTCACTAGTACTGTGGCCACGAGCCTTACAAACAAGAGCTTCAAGTTAGGCTTCTAAACCCCAGGCTAGGCACGTGGCTGCCTTTTGGCACTCTGGATTTAGCAACCTACCTTTAATCTCCTGTTGGCTTTTTTTAAGCTTTGAATTTCCATCCACCCTATGTGATTCCTGAACAGTTCTACCCCCACTGTGCTGGGCGCCTAGGCTTCATAAAACTAACACAATACATGTTAACAATACAAACACGTGTTGGCCCTATCACTGCTTCCAAAGGGAATTTGGAAAAGGGTTTTAAATTTTAGAATGTGCTTATTTATCTTTGGTCTGAACCTAACACCTTCCTGGCCTTTCTGCACCATCTGCTCTCTCATGCAGCCCAGAGAAATTATTTGGTGTTTCTGGAGTCTCAGAAAACAACGTTCACTCGCCACAGAAAGCGCCTCCTGGTGGTTCGAGAGCTGAAGGAGCAGGCCCGCCAAGGGCTACTGGGTACGTTTCTGAACCAATGCAGGTGTCAATAACTACCGGTATCTTAATAAATTCCTGAAAACACCAAAGAAGTGGTTTCCTCATAGGAACATAAGAATGGCCGTAGTGGGTCAGATCAATGGTCCCTTTAGCCCAGTATCCCGTCTTCTGACAGTGGCCAGTACCAGGTGCTTCAGAGGGAGTGAACAGTACAGGGCAATTATCGACTCCCGGCTTCCGGTAGTCAGAGGCTTAGATACGCAGAGCCAAGGGGCTGTGTCCCTGCCCATCTTGACTAATAGCCATTGATGGACTTATCCTCCGTGACCTTATCTAGTTCTTTTTGAACCTAGTTATATTTTTGGCCTTCACAGCACCCCCTGGCAACGAGTTAAAAAGTTGACCGTGTGTTGTGTGAAGAAATACTTCCTTTTGTTTTAAACCTGCGGCCTTTTAATTTCATTGGGTGACTCCTGACTCCTGTGTTACACGAAGGAGTAAATAACACTTCCTTGTTCGCTTTGTCTGCATCATTCATGATTTTGTAGACCTCTATTATATCCCCCCTTAATTATCTCTTTTCTAAGCCGAACAGTCTTCCTGTGCTCTCCTTGTGCCCTAATGTAAATGGCTGTTGCTAGGGTCTGCTGTAGCTTGTGAGAGGGGCCTTCTGGTTTTATATTTCTTACAAAAATTTTTTACAAGAGGCAGAGAATTAGAATGTGATCTGTTGATTTCATTCACTTTGTGTGAAATCTTTGCATTTCCTGCTTTAAAATTTAAATTTTTTCTTCTATAGAGCTGTCAGTGTGGTAACTTTCCTGAGTTAAACACTTCCACATATATCGAAAAGCCCCCAAGAAAGGGACCATGTTTTCCTTTCCACGCTGGGGTTTAGTCATAATCTGCACACATGCTGCATTGTAGAGTACCTGTTAGAGGTGAGGTTTCTGGCTCACTCCCCTTTTGCCAATTCAGGAAAGCCCAGGGGGATTATTTTAAAAGAAAGCTCCTACTCCTCTTTCTTAAAATCTGTGTCCCTATGAACCCTCGACAGGAGTCTGTAAAGCAGTGTCCGCTCTGTGCAGTGCAACTCCTGGTGCTCCCAGATGAGGGCAGATAAGGAAGTGTGCCTCACTGCCTCTTAATACCTTCTCAGAGATTGAGGCAGAGAGACTGCATGTCCATTTATTCTTCAAGTGCTTGCTCATGTTAGGTGTGTTCGTGCCCACCACATGCATGGCTACCAGAGATTTTTGCCTTGGAAGAATCCATAGGGCCAGCTCTGGCGCCCCCTGGAGCCCTGCACTCATGTGCCGTTATATGAGGCTCCCTCCGTTCCTTATTACTATCCGTGCACACTCTCAGTTCCTCCTTACTGTCCATGACGGTTGCTGGAATGCCTTTCTCCCTTACGATAGCAAGTGCGCCTAGTGGTTTTTCTTCTGCAGTTCTTGTACGTAGTTATTTCTTAGTGTTAACAGTTAGTTAAGTTCAGCTAGTTAGTAGTCCCTTCAGGACATTGTCCGAGGGATGGGGCATGCTCTGTTCCCCTGGCTTCAAACTGTTCTGCCTGGCACAAGTCTGTGCCAGTCAGCAACCCCCACACAAGCCGTTTAAAGTGTCTGGGGCAGACGCACATCAAAGACAAGTGCATAAATTTGTAAGGGCTTCAGGCCGAGGACACACAGGACAGAGAGATCCATCCAAAAGCCTTGCTGATGAAGGCGGCACTTAGACCATCCTCAGACTCATCCCACTCTGACTCGGCACCGAGCACATGGATGTTGGTACAGAGTGCTCCACTGGCCCCGGGCTCACCTCAGGACTGTTCACCGTCACTGTCGCCGAGCAAGCAGCAGAGGAAGCAGCGCACAGATCGAGGACGTTTCCCTGTGTTGAAGAAAGACAAAGAAGGGGTAGCAGGCACAGGACCCGTATCGGGCCATTTGCCCTCTTTAGAGTGGCAAGAGGCAGCCTCTCCACCAGGGCTCCAAGCCCAGTAAGGGAACCACCTCTGACTCCCAGGAGCGGTAGGGGACCCTTGTTCCTGGTGGTGCTTTCAACGTCGGAGGCGTTTCAGGTGGCCAGGGACCTCTTGGCTCTACCAGTGCCACCCACACCGCAGGTCTTGCCTTCAGCTGCATAGTCAGTGAAGGCACCCCCTTCCAAAGGGAAGCCACCCATGGGCCCACTGCAGTGGTTGCTTGGCTGATGCCGGTCCTCAGAGTCCCGGCACCGGTTGACAACACCACAGCCCCAGCGACGTCTCTCTGGTACTGGTCATCCTCTTCTCAGCGCCGGTCGCTGACTCTGCAGCACCAATCACCACCCCTTGGCACGGGTCTCCAATGCCTTGATCCATGATTCCGTGTCACTCTCTGCCATCTTGGCACCGCTCCCCGGCCCCCCATCAGAGCTGATTGTAGGAGGCTGCGACTTAAATTCCCTCTAAGCTGTGTGGCCACGCAGCTGCCTATTAAGCCCTGCACTGGGGCTCAGGGCTGCGGCAGGGAGAGATGCCTCTCCCTGCCGGCTCCAGCGCAGACCTGTGGCAGCAAGGAGAGGCGCCCCTCCCCGCCAGCCCCCGCACGGACCTGCCTTGGCCAGAGGAGATGCGCCCCTCACTCGGCTAGCCCAGCCCAGGCCCACCAGAGCTGCCGGGGAGAGGAGCCCCTCCCTCATCCCAGCCTAGCCCCACTGGAGTGGCAGGGGAGAGGCGCCTCTCCCCCGGCCCCAAACTGCTGTAGCAAGAGGGGGCTGGGGGGAGTCCTCTTTCCTCACTGCAGCCCTGGGGCAGCCTGCACCACAAACCCCTCATCCCTGGCCCTGAGCCCCCTCCCACACTCCGAACCCCTCATCTCCACCGCTGCCACATAAATTTTGTTATGTGAACCAATATGGAGGTGATGGCCGGGGGCCCCCGCTGCTGCCACTGGTTCCTGGGGCTGCTGGGCCCTGGGCTTCCCTGCACCAGCACTGCAAAATTCATGGAGATCCGTGACTTTCTGTGATCTCTGTGAATGATTCACAGCCTTAATTAAAATATCTGGGACTCCACGGCTAAATTTAAGGACTCCCTGCCACAGGAGCTCAGACAAGAGTTTGCATCCATCTTGGAGAAGAGCAAGCCAGTGGCCAAAGCCCCTCTCCAGGTAGTGTTGGATGTGATCAATTCAGCGGCCAGATCTATGGCCTCCAATGTGTCCATGCGATGCAGTTCGTGGCTGCCATCCTCGGGGCCATCTCAGAAGGTGCAGCAATCTATTCAGGACCTCCCATTTGAGGGCAACGCTGTACTTTCAGAGCAGACATATACCAGGCCGCATGGCCTGAAAGATTACAGTGCCACACTTTGGTCCTTGAGCCTGTACACACCGAAGGCCTCGAGGAAACATTTCTGGCTACCTCCACCGCCTAGATTTTCGGGTCCACCATGGCAGAGCTCCTACAAGAAAAGAGACAGGCTTTAAACCCTACTGACCCACCCCATCTTCCTTGGCTGCCCTGTTGGGTCCCACGCATCACCCAGCTGGCCCATGGCAGGTATTTGGAGGGTATGCCGAGGACAGTGTTCCAGTCTGGCCTCAGGATCCATCCCCCCATTTGTTTCTGAACTATTTGTCTCCTTTCCTCACTGTATCGATCCAGGTGACCTTGGACCGTTGAGTGCTCAACACCGTAACAGCTGGTTACACCCTGCAGTTTTTCTCCATCCCTCCCTCCCACTCCCCGTCCCTCTTCAGGGACCCTTCTCATGAGCATCTCCTCATCCAGGAGATGGAAACCCTCCTACGTGGAGGGGCCATAGAGGAAGTTCCTCAACATATGAGGGGAAAGAGGTTTTATTCCTGATATTTCCTATCCCAAAGGCCAAAGGGCGCCTCAGATCCATCCTAGACTAGTGTGGCCTCAACAAATATCTCAAGAAGTTGAAGTTCCACATGGACGACTTGGTCTCCATCTGCTCTCTGGATTCAGGAGACTGGTATGCTGTCCTCGACTTAAAGGATGCCTACTTCCATATTTCTATTGTCCGGGGCCCATGGGCACAGGAGATTCCTCTGATTCATAGTGGGCCATTAACCATTCATGGCGCTGCCCTTCTGCCTTTCATATGATCTGAGGGGCTTCATGAAGCATATGGCAGTAGTGGCCGCTTTCCTGAGACGTTGAGGTAGATCTACCCACACCTCGACAACTGGCTTGTTAGAGGCAGGTCACAAGCCCAGGTTCAGCACAGCCTCAATTTAGTGCGGTCCACCTGTCGGGGTCTGGGCTTGCTTATAAACAAGCAGAAATGAACTCTGACCCCTGTTCAGTGGATAGAGTTTAGAGGAACAGTACTCGACTCCACCCAGGCCAGGGCCTTCCTGCCAGAGTCCCAATTCTGAGCCATGTTGGACCTCCTCGTGCACGTCAGGGCACACCCACTCACAAGTGCCTGAGTATGCCTCAAGCTACTAGGCCACATTGCAGCATGTACTGATGTGGTCCAGCACACACATCTACGCCTCAGACCCCTGCAGACGTGGCTGGCATCAGTTTACGCTCCCAGCAGACCCGATACGGACCTACTGGTCACAGTCCTGTTGAAGACTTTCCATTAGAACAGCCAAAGCTCTTCAGCGTGGATAACAGACTCTTCACTGCATACCCTTAAGGATTCAAGTGCAACCCTGCAGTCACTGGGAATTTATGTGCTTGCAACAAAAAGACATTTTAGCAGATCTCAAACACACAACTTTCCAGACGGTTCCAGTACCACCCACAACAGGCCTTTCCTAGGCCTTCGGAGCCTTTGAGGGGGAGATCCAAACCTCACAAAAGGGGACCACCCCCTCTACCACTACCAATCGGCACCTCCTAACAGACAGTGTGGTCAAGAGAATTGAGCAGCCTGTTTCCCCAGATCCTCTGCTGTACATTCTACCATCCACCCCCCTTTTGGAGACTAATTATCCCACTTCCTGTCTGCCTGGAAGCACATCACATCAGAAAAATGGAATCTAGAGGTGGTTGATGTGGAATATTCGATCCCCTGCCCCGTTCCTCTTCAGGAACCCTTCTCATAAGGGGTTCTTAAAGCAGGAGGTCCAATCTCTCCTGTTCTTGGAGGCAATCAAGCCAGTTCCCCTGAGTTTCAGTTCTATTCCAGTAGTTCTATTCCGACTATTTCCAAGTTCCCAGTGGGGCGGATGGTGAAGACTAATACTTGGTCTCAGAAAATTGAATACCTGTGTCCTTTCATAGTACTTCAGGATGGTGACGCTAGCCACCATAATTCTGTCCCTAGATTTGGAGGACTGGTTCGTCATCCTCAGTCTTCAGGACACCTACTTTCTTGTAGTGATCCACAAGCATTTTCTACATTTCCAGATAGACTCAGATCATTACCAGTACTGAGTCCTCCCCTTTGGGGCCTTTACAAAGGTCCGCTTGGTGGCAGCAGCCCATCTACGTCAGGGGATCATCGCAGAAGTCCCATACTTGGATGTCTGGCTTCTCGGGGTCCATCCCTTCTAGGGGCCAGTCAGCAACCTCAAAGGCACTACCCCCATTTCATTTCCTGGGTCTTTGTATCCATCTGAAGAAATCTACGCCGACTCCAGTCTAGAGAATATACTGCATTGGAGCCAGAATCCCTAGCTGCCGGAGACCTCCAAAAAAAGATTCTCCCCCATGTCCAGTTTAAACTGTATACTACAAGGCAGTCTGCAAGCAGCTGCAAGGACCTCCTTACAACTCCTAGGCCATGTGTTGGCCTCCATGTTTGTCGCATCTCATGCAAGACCGTGCTTCAGGTGCCTTCAGATGTGGCACAGGCACGGTCTCTCCAAATGCTTAACATGACCCCTGAATTCTGGGCGCTCAGCTGGTGGAAGGGCCCGCTGCAAGGGAACCCCATTTCACACTCTCCACCCCCAAAAATCCTCACCGTGAGCTCCTCTCTCTTGTGTTGGGGGGCCACAGCTCAGGGCAGGTGGTCCTCACAAGAGATTGTTTCACATCAACATCCTTTGAACCGAGAGCCATCTGCTATGCTTATCAACACTTCCTTCACGACATACAGGGCCACTTTGTTAGGATAATGTTGGACAACAGGGCAGAAATGTGTCATATCAACCAACAAAGCAAGAGCAAGTTCCCATTCCTTATGTGTAGAATTGCTAAAATTGGAACTTGTGCTTTTCCTGTCAGATAGATCAGCCATTGAGAGTTCTACCAGGCCTCAGAATACAATTGCAGACTCCCTGAGCGGGAACTTGCATCAGCACCATGAGTGAGAACTCAAAATTTCTGTCTTCCACAGCATCTACCAAAAGTGGGGTCTCCCCAGAGCGGACATCTTTTCTCCAAGGGAGGACATGACTGCAATTAATTGGGAGATGCCCTGATAACACCATGGAACTATATCCTGCTGTACATTTACTTGCCTCCACCTATAATTCCCAAGCCCTTGATCAAACTAAGACAGGAAAGAGCAAGGCTTATTCTCATGGCAGCGTCATGGCTGCGGCAGGTGTGGTTCTCAAACCTTCTTCACCTTTCAGTAGGAATACCTCTCTGCCTTCCCCTCAAGAAGTGTGTCCTGTAAACCTACTACTTGCAAAATTTACCTGCAGAATCAGAAACATTTCCATCCCTGGTGTTCTCTTAACTCTTGTCAAACCTCAGAAGTTCTACTCTCCAAGATCCTAGACTACCATTTGGCCTCAGAGACCAGTTTTGGCAGTGAGCTCAGTCAGATTCATCCTTCCACTTGGCTATTGAGGGCTTTTCAGTGTTTGCTCATCCTATTACGACCAGGTTCCTTAAGGGCTTATACAACTTGTTTCCCCCTGTATGGAGCCTGCTACCCCATAGAACCTTAATTTTGTACTCAATACTTTTTAAGGAAACCAGTAACTATCTGTACTTTCCTGTACCTCTCCCTCAAGACCTCATTCCTTATAGCTATCACTTTGGCTAGATGAATGGGAGAACTTGGTGCACTCATGGCAGACACACTGTTGACTACTTTCTACAAGGATACTGTCACACTATGTCCCATCCTCATTTCCTCCCTAAGGTTTCTTTGGAATACCATGTTAATCAGGAAATTTAGTCTACCAGTGTTTATCCAAAGCCTCATGCCTCCAGACAGGAATCTTGCCTTCAGTACCTCTCCCAGATTCTCTGTATTCTTTGCTGAAAGGATGAAAGGGCAGCCCGTTTCAACACAAAGATTATCAAAGTGGGTCTCGGGTTGCATTTTAACATGCTATGAGACTGCCAGAGTACAACCCCCTCATAGAGCGACAGCACACTCCCCTGTACCTCAGTTCACGTTTATAGCTTCTCTGAAAGATCTCACCATTGAGGAAATCTGCAGGATTGCAAGTTGGTCCTCATCCATACATTTGCCAAGCATTGCACTATTTTACCAGCTTTCAGAGCTGACATTTCACTTGGTGAGTCCTCCAGTCTGCCTTGGATTTGCCTCCTCACCACCCCCTCCACGCTGAGTTACTGTTTGGGAGTCTGCTACGATGGAGCACCCAGAAGGGGACACAGTCGAAGGAGAGGTTACTTACATGCACAGAAATGAGTTCTCCGAGATGTTTTATCCCAGTGGGTGCTCCGCCTCCTGCCCTCCTTCCCTTCTGCCGTGGTGTCTGACTTTGTGGTTGAGAAGGAACTGAGTGGCAGTGGGTTTGCACCTCCCTATGTGTCCTGGTATAGGACCATGAGGAGCTGCTCTGCTAGGCCTGCAGACATTGCTTTACAGTCTCCTGGCAAGAGTGTGTAGGTGCGCGCACATCCTTCTGGGGAACACTCATACCCACAAAACATTTTGAATTCAAGGTACCGTACAGGTAAGTAACCTCCTCGTCCTGTTGCAGGGGTAAACGTAGCCCACCTAAGTTTCTGTTCCCTCTGACTTGGCTGTTGAAAGATCATGATCACCACCAAGGGTAGGGGCATGAAGGCCGTGTCTTACCCCTGCCCCTCTACTGCGCCTGTTCTCTTCCTCTGCCATGTCCTGGGGGAACTTGACTGTGGGACAGAGGCTCTCTCCCAGTGCCACCAGGGTACTGGTCCATCAGTAGAGGTCCCGTGTAAGACTGTTTCTTGTGGAGGGAAAGTTGGAGATAAATGGGGAATGGTCCTATTCTCCATATGTCCATGGTACTTAGACTTCTCCAGACAGACCCTGCTCGGAGCTAGGATGTCCTGTGTCCCTCCCCTGGACTGCCCATTGGCATCGCCTGCTCTCAGTGTAACCATGTGCTGTTCTTTTTTCCTCTGGTGCTTGTAAAATAACTTCCACCTTCATTGGGGACCAGAGGAAGGTCTAATTTGTTGCTAATTTGTTTTGCAGATGATGAGACACCAAACTGTCTGGAGGCAGACCTTATTTCCGAAACCAGCAGCATCGTGACAGCCAGTGACATGAGTGGCAAATACTCGCATAGTAACTCGAGGATATCTGCGTATGTCCCTGCCCTCAAACCAGATTGCAGCTGTTCATGCTGTACTGGGGGAACGAGAGGTGGAATGCGTGGCTGTACTAACTCCATCTGCATGCTTACTCACGCAGCGATGGACTCTCACTACTGCGGGGCCGTGGGTGCAGACAGGAGAGTGCACCAGCAGTTGTATAATTGGGTTTAAAAAGAAGAAGAAATGCGCTGCAGACAAGCTGGTCCCGCAGGCTGGGCCAGAGTTTCTGCTGCAGTCCAGTCCCTTAGTGCCATTCCCGTGACACAAGCAGCTGGATCTGTCCAGCTGCCATGGAAGCGGGTGTGGCCCCTGTACGGCAGCTGCTCGGCTAGTCTAGTCAAAGCAAACACAGACCCATCCTCAGGACCAGCTCCTTGGCAGCCACACCCAGCAGGCAATGAGTGCAGGTGGGAAGCCAGCCCTCATTCTGTGCCTTGGCTGGCAGCCCACCTGCGTCTTGCATGCTTTAGTAAGAGGTGTACGTTACCGCGGTAAGATGCATTTATTTGCAGGCTTCATTGTGGGCGGGGGGAGGAACTGGGGGGCAGCTGGGGATTATGACTTCCTCTTGTAAGAGGGAAAAGAAATGCTGTTTGCTCTGTCCTGTTCTGTTGCCCATGGTGATACTGGACATTCCTTTCTTCTAGCCGATCCTCCAAGAACCGTCGCAAGGCAGAGCGCAAGCAGCACAGTCTGAAAGAAGGAAGCCCTCTGGAGGATCTGGCCCTTCTAGAGGCCTTGGGAGAAAACATCCGCACTACTGAGAACATGAAGGGTAAGGCCCCCTGGCTGAGCCAAGCCAGCATCCGGCTTGTGCAGCGGTCTGAGGCCAGATGCCACGTTCGGATCTTGACAGATGGGCTGCAAAGAGTAGCTACTGCCCAAGCCTCGAGAGTGGGGGAGGGTCGCTGAAGAGAGCAGCCTCTTCCCCAGAGACACCTTGGCAAGGAGCCAGGATCAGGGCTACTGATTGGCTTTGCTGCTCCAAACCTCTGCAGCTGTCACTGCTCTGATGAGTAAAAAATAGTCCCAGCCCCCAGGTGTAAAGAATCAGAGTGAGAAGAGCTGGGCTGCGCTAATGTGAAGAGAGCTTCCCTCATGCTGAACCCACCTGGCCCCAGGGGTAACAGCAGCTGTGTTCCATTGCTCCGTTCACCCTGTCCCCAGTGCTAGAACAGCCCCGTGGCTTGCTCAGTGAACTGTTGATCGCTGTGATGGAGCTTATCCTGATCTCTTCCTCACAGGTGAAGTGCACAGCTTATTAAAGGGGCTTGTGCTCTTTGGCTACGATGAGCTGGCCAGGGAGCTGCAGCAGGCCCTGGAAGAGGCTTTGCAGTTGATAGAGAGGTCACTCCCGGAAATCTGGACCACAGACCTGCAACAGAATCCTGCTAACCCAGTAGGTGCTTGCTCCCTGATGGCTGTGACCTGAGTCGCTGTTTGCAGCTTACATATTTGTGGTGCTGTGGTATCGTTTATAGAGGCAAACCCTGGAGTCTTTAACTCAGACAAACTGTGACTGGAGTCAGCGGCAGTGTCGGCCTCCAAATCTGCCCCTTGTTGCAGTATGTCAGATAGACCTCCTAGAGAGTGTATTTCTAGAGGCGTGCTGCATCTTCCCACGGCTCAGACCTTGGCTGCCAGCCAGCGTGGACACTGCCTGCTGTCTCCGGTGCTAGTTGGGAGTGATCCAACTGGCTCAATAGCGCTAGGGGACTCCGATGATTTGTGTGTTCCTTCTATATTCAGTGCACTGTGTTAAGTGAAGCAGTTTGTGGAGTTCAGTGCAATATACTCTTCCTTTATATGTTTATAATTGAGCAAAGAAATCTTTATAATGGTTGAACTGTTAACATCCTGAATTGACCACTAACATATCTTACCTCCATTGGACTTCAAATATTTATGTTACCAATACAGTCACTTTAATGCCCTTGCTCTTGTACAATGTATACATGCCCCATGATGAATGGGACAGAAAGAGGAGGGGATGGAGAATTAACTCAGACTTTCTACAGTATTGCCAGTGGTCAATATCATGACAAGCTTAAAAAATCACAAAACTCTTTAAAGATATGAAAATGTGAGATTTCTTTTTCCATGCTTTCTGGTTCCCCAGCCTTTAGGGTTAACTTGGGTCACATTTTGAAACTTTTCTCCCTCAGCACCAGGGCAAGAAACTTATTTTTAATGCAAGTTGAGGTTCTCCTGCAGTCACCTGCCTCTAAGAGCTGGGTCTTTAAGACAGACACACACATCATGAGACTTGTGGCTTATCTCAAGAATTGGCAACACTGTCACAGCAAAGGGGGCTGGCACGGGGGTGGGGAGAAGATCTCATGCATGGTCCTAAAGTCCAGGTGCTCCTGAGATGCCATTCCTGCCAGCTCCTATTGCTGTCTTTGCACAGGGCTTCTGTAGGCTCTTTCCATGTTAACCACCAGCTCTTTCTGTCTGTGATCTGTGGTGCTCCCTGGGTGCTCTGTCTCCTCTGGTGGGGCCCTCAGATTGCAGCACAGTGTCGTGCAGCTTTACTTCCCTGCACCCCCCTCTATGCAACAGTCGCATCACACCGTTCGTCACAGAGCCCCTGCACTGGTTCTGAATCTCATAGCAGCTGCCTTGGCAGCCATAAGTTGAGCTGCAGATGGATGGATACGTGCCATTAGCATCATCTGCCGAAAATGCCAAGCGTTGGCATGGGGGGAGGAGCAGGAGCGCAGATCTCCCTTTGAATCCAATGGCAATATCAAGCAAGCTCCCATCCTGCAAAGGGAGCACTAACTTCCTCAGTGGCAACAGGCAGAACTGCCGGTTGGGTGGATCTTGGGGAGCTTGGTTGTGGAATCTTCTGCTTCATAGTTATAAGGACTTGAATATTGCTGATGTACCAGTATTGCCTATCCTACAGGTCCTGGGCCCCAATTCAACTGCAAATAGCATTATGGCTGCCTATCAACAGCAAAGAATTGCAGCTCCTGCAGTACAAGGTTAGTTAAAGAAAGGATACGGCATCCTAACCGTAGGTACAGGGTATCTCCAATGGTAGCGTCACTAGGGCTAGATGTGTTATAGAGCTATGGCCTAGTGACGCAGTTTGGAGGTCGATGTGGTAGGTCAGTCGTGTTTTTGATGTTCCCTCTTGGCATTAAACAGATGTGTCTCTTGTAAGGGTTACACTTTTCCCTTCATGAATTCCTCTGACAATGTTGTTGCCCTAGGAGTGCATGGCACTTACACCTGACTAGACAAACCAGGTACCTGCTTCTCAGGAGCTGGAAATCTAAGGAGAAGGGAGATGATTTCTGTGGTCTGACTTAGATGATTTATATCTACTCTCTTTCACTAATAAAAACTCACCTGGTAGAGTTCACCCCACAACCTGTCTAATGTTGTTTTAAGATGAAATGTAACCAAGTTAGAGGAACCCAAAAGTAGCTTGTGAAATGCTGAAAAAGGAAGACTGCCCATGCACTCCTGGGTGCATGTTTACCACTGTTGGCTGTTGCTGGGTCAGGACCTTGAGAAATTGGAGCTGTAGGCTTCCTGGGGACAGCTGGGTGATGTTTTTTTGACACACAAGATTTTTAGTCAAAAAATGCATTTTTGGTGCCTCCAAGCTATCCAGAAATTTGGGCTGATGAATAATTGTTTTGGCCAAGAAAAAACACAATTAAAAAAAAAATCTAAATGTTTTGTGTTAAATTCAAATTGGCCTGTTTTAAAAAAGAGTGGGAAAACACCCCTACGTGATCAAATCAAAACAAAAAGCTTGTGCGGGAGGAATTATTTTTAGTCATCTAAAATGTTTTGGTTGACCTGAAACAAAGTAATTGAACCACACACACGCACCCCATTTAGTTTCAAATTGACCCAAAACATTTCAGTTGATTCAAAACAAAATTTGAGTCTTTGATTTGATGGAAAAAGTTGGTTTGGTGTCATATATTAAACTGGATTTTATTTATTTATTTGGATCCCTGCACCAAAACATCGATTATTTGCTCAACTTTATTCCTAAGCCTTTTGCTGCCAGGGGAGATCTCTCAGCTAGAGTAAGCATTGGCTCAAAAGAACCCAGCCACTTCCACCGCATCATTCCGCTCCTTCAGAACGTTGTCCAAATGATCATCAGTGCTATGTGGATCAGTGCTAGGTTTACACCCCCCCAAGACATACCACCCCTGGTAACCTGTATTAACCTGTTGCAGTGTTGGTTTGCACTGGGGTCCTGAAGAATTTGCTTTAGTCTGAAGAGCAGGTATTGCTAGCGAGATCTACAAGAAGGAAAGAATCCAGCTTGACTAGGTCCCATGTTGGGTTTGCAGGCTTACTGTCAACAGAAATGTTTTCCTTGTGCAAGTGTACACCTTTGAGGTGGAATAATTGAGCTGGTGAACTTAGAACTCCACAATGCCATGTTTGGATTTCCTCTTCAGAGCAGCAGTCCACTTTCAAGAGGAAAATGAAAAACTGAAATGTCAGGGGCAGGGATATTTTAGGGACTTTGTTCGAAAGCATTATTTGCCTTGCAACAAAGAGGGTTTACTGGTGATGATGGTTGTCATGCTGTCTGGAACTGTTCATGACTGTGAGTGCCTACCTCAGGGCAGACTGTCAAAAACGGGCAGACGCCCCCAAACTGTTGGTATGTTCTAGAATTAGATTTCACCAACCCAGTAACAAATGTGAACTCTTGAAGACCTAAAATAGTCTTACCATGGAGTCAGAGAGGGTCCTCTTGGGCACTCCAGTCTATCTTGCCGCTCAGGCAAGCTGGACTAAGTGATAAATGGTCACTTATACCAAGAATCACAAAAGATTCAGATTGCTCCCAGTCCCAGGATTCCAGGCGTTTATCCCCAGGTCAGTTTGTACCTCAGATCTCACACCAAGGACAACGCTCATAGTGAACCCTATAGTAAACTAAGGGTTTATTGACTAGGAAAAAGAAATGAATTATTTACAGGTTAAAGAAGGCAACGTATATATACAAATGAGTTAGTCTGTGGTTCCAAAAGGTGACAAGTTGCAGTAATCTGTCAGCACTGATTGTCTTTTAGGGCTAACCCAGGTTGAGCCTGGGGATCTCTGCTTTTGTTTCCTAGCTCCAGCCCTGTGACAGTCCAAATAGCAAAGAGATGAAGAATTTTCATGTCAGCTGTCTTTTTTTCCTTCTTCCAGAATTCAAGCTGATGGGATGAGTTTTCTTGCACATAGCACCTGCAGTGGGTGTAAGAGGGCCATCAACCCAGTCTTTGTTTCACAGGGGTCTATTGTCTTGGTAGTCCTCCTTGAGGGGCGGGAGAGCCACTCCTCCTACCTTGGTTCACAAGTTCAGAGCAGGCATTTTTACAGTTATAAAGCAAAACTTACATATTATCTTATAGCATGGGATACAAGCATTACAAGTTGTATACCGCAACTTACAAGTGTTTTATAGTGTAAACACATCCTTACAAGTCTAACATCTGTCTTGAGCTATACTAACAGGTGAGCTGGTCTGGTTTCCAGCTATGAATTTCAGTGCTCAGCTGGCACCTGGTCTACTAGCATCACAATGGTATCTGTAGAAATATTTTTGCTTGGGGTGAAATCTGGCAAACCCACCTCAGTCCCAAAATAGATTGGCCAAGTTGTAAATCTATACATGTGTCACATGCCCTTCGAGGCCCTCTAACTGGAGTGGTCCTGTTGAGCCCCACTTGGACATACTTCCCTTCAACACCCTTAAGCCAGTCTCCAGGTGCCTCAAGTCCTCCTTTTCTTTTTGCGGATACAGACCAACACGGCTGCTACTCTGAAACCTCTCCTAAAAGAGAAACTCTTGTCTTGTTTGAAAGCTTGTCAGCAACCATTTATGGCCTGCAAAAGAAGGGCCATGGAGACTTTCTAGTGTTCAGCTCCTAAGAGAACTTCAGGGAACCTTACCTTCTCTTCTCTTGCTTTTCAGATGCAGAACTTCTTATTCCTCCAAAACTCAATAAAAATATCCAGTGGAAACTGAATCTCTTACAGTAACCTGAGGCCAAGAAATCTTGCTGGACTCTCAACTGTAGTTTATTGTGAGCTCATTGCTTCCCCTTCATTTTGTTCTTACACTTACACAGCCACACAAACTGTAGATCTGTTCTCGCCAACCCTGGAGAACAAGAAGAGAGGCAGTCCCCATAGAGAAGTCCTTACTGGTGCTGTCTGAGTTGGACATCTGCCAACTCTCTTCCTCTCTCCTTTTGCAGCTCTGGTGCATTGCACCTAAGACCGCTTCCGAGCCAGCTGTCCTGGCTGCAGTACGTCCCTGCTGCCATGGCTGTGCAGAGACTGCAGTCGTTTTACATCGCCCAGGTTCACTCTTTTTGGATCCTGTGTCCCTGGAGTCCAGGTGATGCATTTTTTAAGAATGTTCAACAGAGCCACTGCCTCCCTGCTGCACTGAGCTTTGTTTTCCCATTTGACGTTGGGTGGCTGTTACAAGACGTTAGCCAAATCCTGTCCAGTCAATCCCCGGTCCCACCATTGACTGCACTGGAGCTACTGTACACTAGGCAACTAGGTCCTCAGCTGGTGCATCTGTGCCAGTTTACACCAGCAGCAAGTATGGCCCTAGGTTTACACTGCTGTACATGAGCAGATTATGGCACATTGTGCTTTGTCAGAGTGATTACTGTACAGAACCTCTTCTCTTCCCAAAACATGGCATAATAAAGATGATATTGCTTAAACTGTCTCTCCAAGCTGCCCTGAGTCGGTTTGTTGGACAAGTGTTATTTTGCATGAGCGCTTCAAATCAGACTGTCCACAGACTCCTGGATACAGGAATGGGCTTTCATATGGCTGGGGTCTGAATGTTCTCCCCGGATATCCTGGGAAAAGGGTTGGCACACACAAGCCATCTCCAGGTACAAGTGATGTGCTAAAAGAGGGAGGGACTTACCATTTCCATCAGGCTGACAGAATAAATCTACAGCTAGCAAATCTCCTGTACACTTCATACACTTGGCTAGCAGAATTCCACTGGGACTCCACAGTCTGAGGGTGACAGATATTGCAATTGCATGTAGGTTATGAATGCTTTATGGACTGTTGGGCCAGGGATTGTGTGCAATTCCACAGGGAAGGGTGGCCACAGCTCTGCAAGGCTCTAAAAATGGGAGGGTGATTGTGGTGACTCACTCAAGCTGTAAACATCCCCCTCACCTCCCCAAGACATACCACCCTGGTAACAGCTCGCACCTACTGGGTTTTCCTGAGACCAGCAGACAAAAAAAAGGGCTTTTGGTGTAAAAGGGCTGCACTTTAACTGGCACAAGGTGTTCTTTCTAATCCAGCAAATGGACAAGACCTTCTGTCCAAGGGGGCCTCAACCCTTGTGGAAGGGTTGGAAAGACTTCAGTGTACTAGGGCCCTATGGAGCATGTTTAAATCCAGCTATTGTTTTTTATGATGTTTCAGCTGTAATTCTTTCACCTTAAGAATAAATGTGCTTGCTTTGAAGGAGCTGTGTGGTAACTTGTAAGTGCTGGCTATACACTGTTCATAGGCCTCAAAGAAAGCAAGGCACAGGCCCTTAGGCAGACTGGCTTGCTAAGGATATCACAATGTAAGGCAGGGGCTGTGCGCCCTTAAACCCCTCCAATCAGAAAGGCGTGGGACAAAGGTCCCTGCCCCGAGCCAGGTTGTTGCGGGAGACCTGGTTAGTACTCCTGGAGTGGACCACGGAGCTGCATGTGCAGTTACTCTGAAACTAGTCTACCAGCCCGGATCCATTTTGGGCACTAAGGGGTAACCCATTAGTTAGAAAAATTTCATTATGACCATAGCTGGTGGTCAGCAGCAGACTCATTGTAGATGCTGGAAATGGTGCTGTTTTTCTCCATCGCTTAATCAGGCATTTTCAACCTTTTTTCATTTGAGGATCCATAACAAATTTCAAATGGAGCTGGGGAGCCCTTTGGAAATCTTAGACAGCCTGTGGCCCCCAGGGTCCCTGGACCACAGGCTGAAACCCACTGCAATAGACAATGGGTCTGTACCAACTGCTATATCCCTTGTACACTGGTAAATCCTCTTTTGTCAAATAGGCTACAGTGAAAATCCTTATGAAACAGACGAGATAAAAGCTGTTAATGTGCAACACAGAATGCTCTGAGCATTTAATACAGCCACAGTGGAACACAGATCCAAACTTCATTTTAGTAGCTTGGTTTGCTACCAGTATCTGAGAAAGAAACAGAGGTTCTTAGACATCTACAGTCCACTCTGGGCAGCAGTGTTGATGCTAAGCTCGGTCTTGTCCACTTTGTATTCAGAAGCATTTCCTGTAGATGAAGAAAGGACCCTGTTCTTCATATTCTCTTCTGTAAACCCAGAGCTGCTGAAAGGCCTTGAGTGATGCCAAAATTGACCCTCCCGTCCAGACAGAAGACTTTCTGTCAGGGGATGCTGCTGCGATGGGGTCGTCATTGGGGCACATCTTGGTCAGGTCTCTCTGGAAGCGATCAGGGAAACCCCTCAGCATGGTACAACCTCCGCACAGCAAGATGTTGCCCATCAGTGTCTTCTTGAGATCAGCATCACATTTATTGAGGCAGGTCATTGTCAGCAGTGAGAGCGCTGGCTGCTGTGATCCTATCAAGGATGGTTTGAAGAGCATTTCAGCACACAGGAATCTCTCTTTGCCAATGGCAATTAGGTGCCCATCTGGAAGTTCATAATTAACCTGCTGTTTCTGGAGAGGCAAACCCATGTCATGCTGAAGGTCCAGAGACGTATAGCAACACTTCTCCTTGATATCTTCTACCACACTTAATTGTTCCCCAGTAAATGTTTTCCCAGCCTCATTTAATAACTTCATGAGGTAATGGGTGAGGTCTGATCCAGCATAGTCTACTCTTCCAGTAATGCTTGGCATAGTATAACCTTCATAGATAGGGACCACATATGAAACGCCATGGCCACTTTCTACCACGAGAGCGGAGGTCTTTCCGTATGAATACATAGATAATCTGGACTGGTAGGCGATATGCATGGCAGGAGTGCAGAACGTTTCAAACAGCATCTCGGCATATTTCTCCCTGTTGGTGGTAGGACTCAGTGGAGGGTCGGATACCAGGACAGCATGCTCCTCTGGCTGAATCTTCATCTCTTTGTGGAAAATGTATTCCCAAATGTCTTGGACACAATCCCAGTCGACCACTATGCCATGTCGCAAGGGGTTGACCAGTTTTAGAGGTATTTTCACATCCTGAAGTTCTTTTCCAACAAAGGTTTCTTTGCGATTGTCCCCAGTTTTAGCAGTCTCCTGGAAATGCTTGCCCACTGTGGATGAAATAACATGGGAGGGACGAGGCTCTCCAGCAAATCCACACTTACAGTAACCTGTGCCAATGTCTATGATCACCGCTCTAGTCTCCTTCACAATCTTAGGGCTTCCCTGAGTTGATGAAGCGCTATTCTCTTTAGGCTTTTTACTGGCCCTAACTAGTACCGCCCGTTTTGCAGGACCTTCCTGGATTGTTGCTTCCGCCACAGAGTTGGCGCTTCCTTTGACTGACATTTCCTTTCCTTTTGTCATAGATGTTGATTCCCTTTGACTGCACTGGCAGAAGCCATGGCAAGCCGAGAAATACCAGGGGTAATTTTGGAACTTTCATGCCACTGACATCACTGATTATGACATCAGCTGTCTGCTGCCGTTTGGGCTACAGCTTAGTATTTCAGAAGTCTTCTCTACGTGAGGACTTCTGGGGGAAATACACTGCTTGTTTAGCCTACCAGAGAGCTAGTGGGGCCTGGCTGCCGCTGTTTCTACCACCATATATCCTCGCCTGGCTCTGAGCAGTAGTAGGTGACAAGGTGGCTGGTCTATGCCAACATTCCCACCTGCTGCTACTGGCTGTGGAGCCATGATGTGTGCAGATACAGCAAGTAGGCATGTCTGCAATGCACGTAACACAGGGGTTGTTCTAGAACATGTCTAACACTAGCTTTGACTACATTCTTTTCTCAAGGAAACAAACTGCTTCCTCCCCAGCCTCCTCCTGAAAAGGTCTAGATCTTTTCTGAAGTCATTTTTAAGTGTTTCACTAACCAGTATTCCTTTGGGGCCTGATTTGTTTAATATTCAACAAAGTTTCCATCTCTCAAACTTTGTGTGATTGTGGTCATTTTTAAAAACAACACTGGTGAGAGACAGCCCCCAGGAACCCTGTCACAACATCATGTGTCGATGGGACATGGCTGATTTGCTTAAGAACACACTGAAATACAGAGTCAGGCTTGTGCTGTATAGCCCTTTGTAGCCTTATCACCCCCCTCCTGTCATCTATAGGTTTGCCACGAAGAAATACAGAGCCATAACAGAGTTAATGAAGAGGTCTAGGGTGCAGTGGGGTACAACAGGGACACTGTTGTAAACCACCAAAATGAGGCTGCCTCCTGCTGAACACCACCATTGTCCATCACAACAACATCAATATGAAACATACCTTCAGCAAGATCTAGTAGTGGTTTCTACCCAGTCTAAGAGGGGAAGGGGACATGTGACTGCTGGCTAAGGAGGATGGGGCTCTCTTCAGAGCCCCCTAGTGCCACTGCTTGGCTAGAGCAGTCCTTGTTGAGAAGTGCAAGAATATCTGTCCCTTGGGCTGGATGATTCCTCTGCAGTGTTCACAAGAAGCAGAAGAACAGTATCTTATTCTTAGCTAGTGTTATTTTAAGCAGTCTTTTGCTGTGAATGGCAAAGCAATATGGGCAAAGCCAATAGCATCACTGAGTAGCTGAAAACTGGCGTGCTCCGTGGTTACAGCTGCTCTCGATGAAAAATGCTCGGTATTCAGATTAGAATTACTGGGTCCTTTACCATGAGCAACCGCTATGCCCCTGACTCACTGCTGCGGTGGGCCTCCTCGCTACACAGCCTGGAGCCCATGGATCCCGCCTGAGTCTGTTGCCGTCCCCAGTGTACCACCACATCTTAATATTACATAAGCAGTGTAAGAAGGGAAAAGTCTCTCTCTAAATGTGAGAGTGGCTGTACTCGGGACCGGCTCCAGCTTTTTTGCCATCCCAAGCGGCGAAGGAAGAAGGAAACAAAAAAAAACAAGCCTGGTTGAGCTGCCGCCGAGGTGCTGCTGAAGAGGAAGAGAGGGGATTGCTGCCGAAGACCCAGACGTGCCGCCCTGATGACGGACGGAGTGCCGCCCCTTTCTGTTGGCCGCCCCAGGCACCTGCTTCCTTCGCTGGTTCCTGGAGCCAGCCCTGGCTGTACTAGAATGCCACCTCAGCGTGTCCGCACCCATCGCCCTAATACGTAGGCCCCAAAGGATGAGGACGTGCGACCCCAGGAGAAGGTGAGGAAGAGCCGTTTTCCACAGCAGCGTGCAATCCAGCAACCAGCCCTGGGCCGGGAAGCACAAGGTCATCACCCACCTTGACATAAAGTCGAATAAAACATTCTGGAGCTGCAGTTCATTTTTTATACTTGATAATTGCTTCAACAGTCCCACTGGTAAACACGTAAGAAGCCGCCCTTTCCACAAGCACACAGCACTAATGACATCAAAGCAATGACCTTCTCATGACAATACTAATGTTACAAGAGTATTATTTGGACTTCATGCCATCTACTCGAATGATCTGGCTGTCAAAATTAAACAGCGGATGCAAATGGCTGCAAGGAACAGGGCTAATGCCAGGCCTACAGCCATGACAGCTGCGCAGGAAGGG